TTGTTGTTTTTTCTTTATTATTGATTCTCTTTCCTCTTCGTTCTAACAGTTTTAGTCACAATTTATACCCTTTATTCTAGCACTCCTACTACACTATCAAATTTTCCATACAAATATAATCTATCCTGATTTGTTGTTAGTGTTAATCTATTCCCAAATTTTACGACACAGCTTCATCCATTTCACATATTGATTATTTCATAATGAACTATTCACCATTGTCTTACTATCTCTTCTTTTAAATGCATACTGTTCTGTACTAGCCACTCACTACTCGCATTTAACGACCTTGAACTGAGTTGTCGATTTCCGTTCCCCACGCTGAATGAACCTATCATTACTAACCTTCATCATCATCCCGTACTTCACAACATTTTTTAAATTTTATTGACTGCAGAACGCTAATCACACAAATGTTATTTATTCTGTCACCCTATTTCTAATCTGTTACTGGATGTATAAGCTATCCTCTCCATAACTGGCTAGTATTGTTATGATGACAAACATTTCATTTTATAACTCTTGTAATGGCAGAAGACCAGAGACTTAGTAACGGAATGTCTAATTGGAATTTAATATCTCTATGTAGGGAGATGGTGCGTTGGTGGCATAGCGGTTAGGACGCTCGGCGACCACGCACATGGCCTGGGGTTCGATCATCGACCGACGCACTCCTTTACTTCACTAAGCCAGAAATAATGCTGGTGAAGAGGAAAGTTTGGGCATGAGGCTAGCGACCCCATCCTGTAAAATAAACACTGCTACAGAAACTCCAAGCCAGTATCTTGAAGCCCTATGTTCCACTTTGGAAAGTGAAGAAAAAAAAACGTAGGGAAATTATGCACACCTCATCTGAAAACTGTCATTTGCACAGATCTTTCGTGTTGTGTTAATTCTACCCTTCATATTGTGTTTCTCATGGTTTAATGAAACACTGGTTCATCTGTCCTCTTTGACGTCAAATTTGTCTGTCCATTATTCAATACTTTCGTGCCGATGAATGTCTCTTTAAACACTTTTGATAAGTCTTGCCAGTAGCTTGCGCCACACTGTATGAATCTGAAAAGAATTTATTGGAAAGAATACTCTTCTTTCAGACCAGTGTTTAGTTCATGATATGGGAATATTTCTTACTCACAAATGCTAACTAGCTTAAAAATGGTGGATTGGTTTCTGGGTTTTCAGCTTCTTGAGTGTTTGTATCAATATTCCTTTTCAAACAGTCCACCACTCAAAACTCATCAGTTTGCATACACATCCGTGTATAGTAATTTTTCACTCTGTATTTTTTATTCATTTCATTTTGTGTGATATGCAAACAATTGGTTTGAAATCGTTAAATGAATCTTTACTATTTTGTCTATAATGGTGGCCATGGCATTCATAGAAGTCAGTGGTTGATGTTATAGCTGTGCTTACTAAACTAGATGAGTCTAATTCGAAGTTTTCAATGAGAAGATACAGATGTTTGCTCAGGTTTAGTGAGCCTACAGGTTTTTGAAGGGCAGCCGGTTAATTTGACTGCTTGCCTTGCAGTAAATAACATACTATATCCTCAGTCAATTTAACAAAGCCACAGGAATGAATAAATCTCGTTTCTTTGTCTCCATGTTACAAGTGACACTTCTCCTACGAGATTTAGAAAATATTTTGTTCATCGTGTGTATTGGGCATGTTATTAGTCAAATGAGAGAGATTGGAACAACTTTGTTAAACAACCAGTTTAATTTTAATTGAAATAATCGTACTACTGATAAAGTTATTCAGTAGATATTGGTTTTGGTCAAATTATTGAGGCATTGTAATTTCCATCGTGTAAATCTTGAAAAATTATTATTATTGTTCCCTTGGGTTCCTAGTGGAACATAGGGCTTCAACTACACGTCTCTACTTGCTTCTGTCTTGTGCTATACTTTTCACTTGCATGCATGTTAATCCATACTGTTTCAGTTCCTCTTCATACGATCTTCTCCATGTCACCCTTGGACGTCCCACTCGCCGCTTCCCTTTCGGGTTCCACTCGAGTGATGGCCTGACGCGCGATGTCACCCAACGGCCTCCTCAGTGGGTGTCCAATCCATCTCCACTTTCTCCTGCATATTTGTTGAGCGATTGGTTCCTGTTTTGTTTGCTCCCATATTTTCTTGTTGGTGATTCTTTCCGGCCATCTGATCTTGAGTATAGGACGAAGACAGTTGTTGATAAAGGTGTGCAACAGGCTGTTGGAAATATTCTTTGTGAACCTCCAAGTTTCTGATCCGTATAGAAGAACTGACTGACTTGACGTTTGTATTGAAAATCCGAATTTTGTTGTTGATGCTGAGTGACGAAGATTTCCAGATTGGTTTCAGGTTGATGAATGTGTTTCTCGGCTTCCCGATTCTCCGATTGACATCCTCGTCCGTTCTTCCTGTAGTTGAGACAATGCTCCTTAGATAAGTGAGGTGAATGAAGTAACCTCTTTCAACTTCCTCCCGTTGATGGTGATTCGCGTTGGATGTTGCTGTTGTTGTTGTTTTCGGTTGTTTATTTTCATAACCTTCGTCTTGTCTATGTTCACCTGGAGTCCTGTCTTTGCTGCCTCTTCGACCAGTTTGGCGGTTTTCTCTTGTGAGTCTTCGATTTTGTGTGAGACCAAACATAAGTCATCCGCGAAATCCAGGTCTTCTAGGTTCTTCACGTCGGTCCAAGATATCTCTGTCTTCTCGTTTCCCACTGTCTGACACATGATCCAGTCCACCACAATTAGGAATATCATTGGTGATAATAAGCACCCTTGTCTGACTCCTGTGTTTACTCCAAACGCCTCGCTGAGTTTTCTGTTGTGGATCACTTGACATGTGCCGTTGTCGTACAGCTGTTGAATAAGGTTGATGAATATTTGGGGTACGCCGTAGTACTCGAGTAGTTTCCAAATTACTTCGCGGTCAACGCCGTCGAAGACCTTGTCGAAGTTTATAAGGTTGAGGTAGAGATTTGATTGCCATTCCATGCTTTGTTCGATGATAATGCGTAGAGTTGCAATTTGGTCAGAACATGATTAGCCTTTCCTGAATCCAGCTTGTTCTGGTCGGAGTTCTGTATCCAGTGCGTCCTTTATTCTCTCCAGGATGATTATAGCAGCGCTGAATTTCTAAAAAAAAACTGTCTTAATCCATTAAAAAAACTCATTTAAAACTACTATAAAATTGGAGATTGTAAGTGTACGGGACAAGTACTGAAACAATAGCTTCATTCAAAATTTACTCCACCATTTTATTATGATTATGTTTCAATGGCTGTTTAAACACAATACGTTTTTGATGTTATTAATATATCCAGCAAAATTACTACCTGTGATAAAACTATCTACCAACAAAAGTAAATATTAGCTGTGGTAGACCAGGAAATAGATAATATATCTGTTTAACAGGTTTCAATGTATCTCTGCGAAAGACACAATAGTCGTCGATAATGAAATACTGACTGAAACACCAATAGAAAACGAATATCTATCTGTTAACTTCTTCGAACTAGTGAATAACTTAGTTAATAATAATATCCACGCTGTAGTCTATTTCTGAAAGGATGTTCTACATTACAATACCATTTATCACGGGATTTAAGACAGTGACTGACATCTGTTCTGGCGAACATCAAATGAGAAAGTTCTAAACTTGATTTTTCCAGATCCCTAAAGTCATAGGCATGATTACGTGTGCAACAATTTACATGTCTATTTGGGAAAGTATACTTCGGAGGGTGGCTTCACACATGCCAACTAATGTCGAATTCTGAATCTTCAATAACTGCAGACGTATGAATTTCTGAACAGAGAAAGAAGAAACATTGGCGCAGAATAATCTGGATCCATTTTATTTCGTTGGTTCTCATCAGCTGCGTACAATCAGCTGTGTACAATTTTAACAAACCTTCGACCATTAGCAAGCATAGTGTCAGAGCGTCATAGTAAAATAAGGCATTGAGATTTACAGGATGTCTAAAGTGTCACGACATATACATATATCTTGGTAGAGAGAAGTTTCTTGAAAAAATTAGTTAACAGTTATGTTGTTAAGGTGGTAACAAAAGACAATTAGCAATAGTTACGTAATTAGATAAGAGAAGATCAAAATTTTAAAATTACGGTGCACATGAGGTCAGATGAGAAGTTGATGATGTAATACAGTTGGCAGAAATCAGAAGATCAAGAAAAATTATCTCCTAAGAGAGTCAAGCGAAACATAAAGGGGGGGGGGAGTGAAAAGATAAGTTAACAAAATTAACAAAATTAGAAAACAGAGAGTTACTAAGACGTGAGTCACTAGGGTAAGTGAAGTCCAACAACGGATTCTTTTTAGACACATAAGTCAGGCTTCAATCGTTTTATTGCTATAGCTTCAGCAAATCTGAGAAGACTTGAGGTACCTTGTCTGTTAATTATTTTGAATGATTCCAGCACATCTACTCGGTGTCCTGTGTCAATCAGATATTTGGCGTTTGAAGAGCTTAAATGATTCGGTCCCTTTAACCGGAGGCTCCTTGGTACATGTTCGCAGAATCTGACGTAGGCCCTCCTCCCTGTTCTTCCAATGTAACTGCTCCCGCAGATCCATGTGAATTGGTATACACAGTTGGTGGTAAAATGTGTTCAAATTTATAAAAGGGAAACATTGTATGAAATTCTTGAAAAGTATGAATTTCTCTTCATCTATATTTGAAAATTATTATACAAGCCAATAACAAGAATAATTTTGAAACAGGTTTGATAATTTCTGCAGCAAAATCCAAGTATGAAGATTTCTATTTTTAGAGGCGTCAGAAATTCTTAATTTTCTGACAGGTTTGCGTAAAAATAATTTGTTTGAAGGCACTTCATTATCTTTGATGTATTATCTAACTGGAAATAATGTTGTAGTTTGCTATTCCTCTCATGTAACTTTCCTTACCTCCAAATCTCTACTACATATCATTGCACTGGATCCTCTACTTTGACATATTTATGTAAACTAACTAGACAAATGAAATATCCGCTCACAATGTACGTAAAAGTTTTGCATGTAAGTGGCTCTTTTCATATAAATTTTGTCTTATGATATTGAAATTCATCAATCATTATTGATATCATTATGTTCGCTATTGATTATAATTTTAAGAGAATAATCTACATACAGCGTTTGTTCAAATCCTATTACAAACCAAGTTTTGTTTTAAACATTAAGTGTCATATTAATAACCTTGAAATGGATACCTTCAACTTCTCTTTTTATTTATTTTATTTTTTACATTTTTTAAAGCATTTCACTAATTTCAAATATTGAATTATCAGTCATAAGGGAGTCTTCGAAAGAAAAGTTGTTAGATCAAAACACTCCAAATTCTCCGAATAAAGGATGTTCTTTACTACCGAATCAAAGATATCTGAGTGTGTTACCGGGTATCGGATGGGATAATTTAGTTAACCGTGAAAGAGGTCCTGTAATTGATGTTGAACAATATACAAACTGTCGAACTTCTGCGGATGGGAATTTTCTCATTCCAGATGATGTAATAGTCCGTACGTTCACAATTTTTATTCATTTTTATAATTTTCACTTACATCAGCAACCTAAGTGCTAACATAATGAAAATGCTTACTTTTTGATTGAAAACTGTGTTCTTTACGAGTACAGTTACATTCACAATAAAATTCTAATTATTCCATGAATAGGGTGAAATACGTCACGTGAACAACAATTACTTTAAGCTCAATAAAAACGGAGTAGAATTTTAAAGTAACTCTGGTCAGAGGATTAATCTTCACATTCAGAGATAGTGTGGTGAGAGCTGTCTACTAGCCAAATTGGTAGACAGTAATTTACGTCAATATTTATGTACCCAAGATTTGTCGTGAGAAAATGTGAACAAAGATTGATTCAAAACCGACCACAGCAGACTTTGTGTAGGCAGATGCAGTTAACATATATGGGATTTGACATTCAAGAAACAGTCACAAATAGATGAAAGATGAACTTTACGTGAGAAACAACCAATCGGAAGACTGTGTTTGTTTGCTTAACTAATCTATAATAATGTACATGAAAATATATAAATATGCGTTGATTTCCTTAATAAACGATCTGTTGCCTGACTCTTGCCTTCTGTCGTTACAATAGTAGTAATAACTTTATCTTGAAAAAATTCTTGAGTACACACTTCAGAATTCGCAGCATATTTTATCGCAAAGTATTTACACTCTCTGTAGAACCTTAAAGTGTATTAATAATCAGTAATATACCATTTGAAGGAATATTCTTCTATTCAAAGTTCACTCTAATAACCTGCTATGCTTCTCTTCCATTCTCTTCAAAAAATCTATAGCGGTAATTTGAAACTTATTTGAAAATAGGCCTGGGTACAGATTGAATATTTAAAACAGAGTGAAATAGAGTAAACAAGATACATTTTGATAGATGAAAAATTAAGTAGCCATGTGATTTAAGCAGGCTATCAGCAGAAGACAAAATCTGGATCATATCAGTTACTGAAAAGAAGTCTTTTGTTTCTGTTAAGCAAAACTTATTTGATTTGAATGAAGTGCGTTAAAATTTACCCATTTTCTTCTAAATACCTCCTGGAAATATGAATCCAGATAAAATAAAACTGTTTTACACTGACCCTCACAATGAATTCTACATATTCTGACGAACAAAGAACAGAAACATGAGTATTTTGAGAGATTCACTTATTAAGTGAATTGGTGACTAGGTGACATGTATTTAGCGTGATTAGCGAATCCAGTGGAAGCGGTTTTTGTAAGAAGGAAATCTTCATATGCAGAGTTTTCAGCCTCATCATACCTAACTGACTGGTATATACATTTTTCAATAATTTTTTTCCTATATTGTTTTACAACTGTGAATTTGACTTCAGACTATTCTGTTCTGAACAGCGGTTATTTTAAAAAAGTCATCTCGGACTATTTATTCGAAGCTGTTACCTAATTTTATGTGTCTGATACACCTAGTCTAACACTTTTCAAGTATTTACAGTATGAATTGTGATCCTCACGATCATGTGCTTATGTGCGTTGTTTGAATGTGGTAATAAAAACTCAGGTAGTTTGAAACAGTACAAGTTAATTAATTAATTAATTAATTAACAGGTGAAAAAAGTTAGAAAACTAGTGTATTATTTAATTCTCTCACAAGGGTAAAGCCCATCATTATAAGTCCACTAATTTTACACTCTTCAGTGAGAGTTGAATGTCACATTTTTTAACTACAATATAAGACGATTAAATACTGTCTCTATATCAACTAGCATGTGTTTACTGAAGTCAACTTTTCTCCATCTGATATTTGTCATGTTGATTTCAGTGGAAATTGAAATATTTACTGATATGGATTAGATAGCGAGTTAGAGAAAATACTTACTGACAGCTATGCAAGCTGCTTACAGTATTCATCAAGTTCAATCCAGTAAGAAAGTCAGTAAAAGTTTTTCAGCTTAACGGCGTGATACAATATACTAGTGACTGATGTCACTTAGTGGAAACCACCCACTACATGGCCAGTTTTTTCATTTCGGTTTGAAGTCGTTTGCAGAGTATCCAGTTCAACTTATTTCACGCAGTTGAACCAGTTCCAGTCACTTGAATTCTAGCCAGCTACTTGGGACAATTGGCAATACATCAAATTCATCGCTTACAAATTAAACAGCACGTAGTGAGAAGTTACTACAGTTTCTTTCGTGTATGGAAAGCATTAGAATCATAGTATGTGGTTCTAAGCTTCTCTGCTCTATTTGTAACGGATTTATCATAATTTAGAAAGTGTTGAATTCTCCTCAAGTAACAAAAATCAAACACCAACTCTTCACAGAAACTGGAAACCACAGAGTTCGCAATCACTCGTAACATTCTACCTCAACACGATGAATAATTTATTTGAATTTTAAAATGAAAAACATCAAACTACCTATCCCAATTTCCGATACACTGATTCAGTTGGATCACACTTTCTATATTCTTTATACCTAGAACCACTGAAAAATTCCGAAGTGAAGTTAACCTCCGAAGTATATGAGTCAATAAGTCAGTGTCGTTCCTTGACAGCCTATTCAATTAATTCAGCCCTGGAAGGTGGTTATTCATTTTTCCGTATTAACGGAGACTTCTCATTTGATAAAGAAACATTACGTGAAAAACTGGTATGTAAAAATTTCCATTTTTTATTAGCTCAGATTACATTTAATTCAGTTTTTCATATAATTTTTACCTGTTAATACGCCACTGACCGTATTCAAATGGATGGTTTTTTCCTACAGACTTCATTTCATCTCCTCATCTCATAACAACAAAATAAAGTTTTTTGCATCTCAGACTGTGGGGAGTGAGAAGACAGGAATACTCTGCACTAACTGATAACAAAACTCTAGAAGATCTGGATATCGTGGATGATCTATGTACACTGTCACACAAACTCGAAGATCTACAGACGAAAACCAACGAACTAGAATAGGAACCTGGAGGCGAAGACAGATCTCCTGGTGAACAGAGAGAAGACGGAGGTGATCAAGATAACCAACGAACCACAACAACAACAACGACAACAACCAGCACCAATCAACATCAACGGGAGGTCACTTCCTTCCTTCACTTATCTAGGAAGCATATTTTCAACGACAACGGGGGTGGAGAATGGATGAAAATGACAAAGCCTGGGAGAATTGACAAGGCAAGATACACCTTCATCAATCTGAAATCGTTTTGAAAATCTTCTACACTCCGCCTCAGCTAGCATAGTGAAGAAGATTCGGATTTTCAACACAAATGTGAAGTCAGTCAGTTCTTTTATATTGGTCAGAAACTTGGCACCTGCATCACTGATGAAAGCATTTTCAACAACTCAGTGCTGATATTTATGAACAGCGGCCTTCACTGGCTGCATACTGAAGATCATATGGTCAGCCAGAAAGAATTAGCAACGAGGAACTATGGGAACAAACTAACCAAGAAGCTATCGTTCAACAAATATACAGGAGAATAAAATGTAAATGGATTGGCCACACACTGAGGAGACCGTTGAGTGACAATTTGCACACCCGGTCGTGTGGCGAAAGTGGAATGTGAAATGAGGAGTGTGTCGTCGGAGGGTGACATGGAGGAGATCGTTTCGTGGTGGTGTTGGTGGTGGGTAGGCTGGAGGATATGAGAGATTATGGGCAATCGTTGGCCAGATTAATGACGATTAGATTCAATATGTTAGACATTTATTTACTCGACTGACAAATGATAACCAACTCAACAATTATTTCATTATATTTGGAGACTTTTCAGCAGTACACTTGTTTGACTCCATCTAAGATCAAGCTACTAGCTGTAATTTCTTTAAACAAACCTGTTGACACCTAGCCATTTAACCAACAGCAATAGGGGTTCCTGTATTTTCTTCCTACTCGTCACCTCAACGTATCCAGAATGTTTTCAAGCCTCCGAAGTCCTTCCATTTAAAATCTATTGGAGGTGATAAGCGTACGATCTATTCACATAGAATAACGCTTATGTTTAACGTGAAATTGTAGTACGAGTGCTTTAATATTTCACAGTTGCAGAAACTACTGTGAAATGTATTATGTGGTGCAATTCGAGTTGATTTTGTTTCTTAACTCGTACCTATCCACTATGCGGTGAAACATACTTGTTTTGACGTTGAATATGGTTAAATGGAGCAATTTATTTAATCTAAGACTTATTATTGTAACCGGACAGTAAATGACATACGTAGTGCAAAAAAATTATTTCAATAGCTGCATTTGTGGAGGATAAATTGATATAAAGTTATATTACCCTTCGAAACGGCATCAGTTAGAGAACCGCTGAAAACCACTAAATTGTTGTGTTTTAATACTGTGCACTTATGATGCCATGGTGAACTAAACCAAAGCTGTTCAGGCTAAGATTCAGCGATGTTAGTATCCAACCACTGGGCTACAAAATATTTCTCAATAATGTCATACTTCTATTGACTCAGGCTATTGTGCTGCCGACATAGCTTTCAGTACACATCAGTAAATAACTAAGGGGTTGGTTTCCTGCGCTTCTAATGAGAATTAATGGTAGGTGACGTCCATGAAGTCATGGACGAAGACTGTTTCTCACCAATGTAATTTGTGAGATTATCACTCCAACTATGTTTTTTGATTCAGGCGTTATCAACTACTAGCCCGTGTTAGGTTCATTAACACTGATGAGAGCCAGTGTTAATTCATTCGCTTCATTAATAATCACCTACATTACCAAATGAAGCTTCTTACAATATAGATAAAACAAACCTGTCAATGAAATGATAACCTTTCAAATATGCACCTTCTCGTCATATATTACAACCTCACCTTTACCTGAGTCATCTTTCTTCCAACTTCCCCACGGAAGACTTTCCCTTGAAGTGTTGAATTAAAAGAACGAGAGTTGCAGAGTATTTTCACCTTCCTCTTCCTATCATACTTGACAAGAAAATGACAGGATGCCATAAAATTGTCAAGTACCAGGCATAACTTGAAGAATAACCTTGAATATACTTTTAATGAGACTTCATCTATGTCATTACGACTAATGATTTTGAATACATGTAACATTAACATTTTCCGGTAGTATCTTGGAATTTCGAACGACATTATAATTAGGAAATTTTCTCAAAAATCGTTTGGCAGCTACACACACACTTTCAAGTTTCGTTTCATCAAGCAGTGTCATCCAGTTTGTATCTCTTTAAATGCGATCACAGGACAAAATTTAAAGCATCAACTAGAACTTGTTATCTTTGTTGTGATACTTAGCTGACAAGTAACGAAGGTCACCTTCAATGTGATTCCACTGTTTGATCTCATGAAACAATTATCATTTGTAAGATAGAAAATTTATATCTGTATTTAAAAAACCATAGTTAAATAATCCTTTTAGTCATGCGAATCGAACTATCTTGATTAGTAGACAATACTCAAGTTATACTTAAATTATTATTGTTATTCACTTGAGTTCAGAGTTGAACATCGGGCTGCATCAACACATAGTCATTTTAGACTGTCTTCTGCAGTTACTTTTAGCTAGCTAGGTTCAGGATTGTTCGTAATCTTTCATCTCATCCTCACACGATCTGCTGCATATCAACCTCTGAAACCAAAATCATGGTTTTCCGTTCAGGTCCCACTCCATTGCTTGGCGCGTGGTGTTACTCAACGGTCTCTTCCTTATATGTTGCATCCATGTCTATTTTCGTCGGTATACTTGTTGGACAAAAGGCTCTTGTTTGGTTACTTGCTACATGTGCTTATTGCTTATCTCTTCAGGCAGTGTAGAGTGAAGGCAGTTTTTGACGAATTTTCGGTGACTTGCCAAATCTCTTAACCATATGGAAGAATTAGCTTGACATGAGTGTCAAATGTGAATCTTGTTCTTTGTGCTTAGTGCAGCAGGTTTCCACATTGATTTCACAATCATGAAGGTCTGTCGTGTCTTTCCGATCCTGGATTTGACATCTTCATCCGTGCCGCCCGCAGTTGAAATGATGCTTTCCAGTTGAGGGAAAGAAGTGACTTCCTTAAGATTCCTCTCATTGATGGTGATTGGTACTACTTTTATACTGACCATAGACTTCACACTCTCCTTCCGTAAACAAATGAAAGTACGATTTGGTAAGCTTGTAAGATCATGAGATTTTTAATGTTTGCTTATTTAATTGTCCTGAAACACTTTTCTTATTTTACTTGATAGAGTCAAAAATTAGGTCTTATTGTTCAAAGTGAAATGCGTCATAATCGTTACTTTGTCCAACAAATACCAGATCCCAAGTTACATTCACGTTTCAAAAATCGTCTGTTAGACATAGCTGCATATCTAGAACGTGGAAATGTTACTATGGAAGCGATTGAATTATTTAATAATGGTCAAATTGGAAATAATTTTAGAGATTCTGCGGGTACACTGACGAATGATAATTTTAAATCTTTAAGCGAGGGTATGAATGCATTTTATTTAGCTGATTTAGTTGTCCGGTAAGTAAATCAATTGGAAATTCTTATGTACTGTAATCATTCGTTTCTTTTTCCAGAATAGGCAATTCGATTTTAAAATAATAATGATGAGCAGGTTGTAAATTATTACTCATTCAAGCTATATCAGATCGGACTTCTCGAAGATAGTCCCAGGACCAGTTTAGGTAGAGCTAAGAAATAACATTTGAAAACTCAGCAGTCTCAGGTGAAATTCATGTGTTAATAGGTTGTCTGTTAAGCACCGAAAATAATATCAGAATCACGAACCCAATCAATCATGCATTAAATACTGCTAACTTATATGAGTATTGCACACCATATACCAGCCAGCCGTTTACACTGTGTACATTAATTTCATTGTTCTTAATCGATCCCCTAATTACCACCTAACTAAAAGATCCCTATTTGACCAAAATACAGATAAGTGTCGTGTTCAGAATTCCATACTGTGATTTTAAAAACAGTATAGGTTAGTAGTGGAAATATGGAACCCTGGTTGAAACACTAGACTTTCAGTCAATGGTCCCCGGATTCTGACATCACTTCACCTATCCCATCCCATGTTACTGAATAGTATCATCAGCCCTAATAAAATAAATACGGCTTGAACCCGATACTGGGTAAGTGAGTTCTTACTAGTGGCTAATATGTGTTTCATTAAAGCATGCATTCAGTAGGATTTCGTTGTGATGGAACACACAAGTTATTTTGAGATTAAATGAATGGTTACTCTTAGAAATCTTGTTTCTGCACTGAGCTTCCACCTGTTGTTCAAACATATGCAGAAGTTGAAAAAAGCAAGAGCGACGAACTGATATGACTTTATCTAATCGGTGCTTGTCAACTGCATACAACCTGACATAATTTTATAGGGATTATACAAAACTCCCACATACTTAAAATATCAAGTGGGAAGACGAAAGCCATTCATGTTACGTTTTCAAGAGGACAATCGAAGTCAGTTGCCAGTGTCTAGTGAACTCAGAAGCGCATTGGCGTTTCAGCGGTAGAATGCTCGCCAACCACTCTCGTCGTCCGTGGCTTGATCCCGAATGCACTCCTCAGCTGGAAGATTGTGTGGGGGGCTAGGAAACCCATTCCATAAAAAATAAATACCACTTTTACTGGAACTCTAAAGATCAAGCCTGAAGCCCTTCGTTCCACGTAGAACACAAAGCAATAATAGAATACAAAAGAATATAAGTGAACGCAAGTGGTGCAACTCTACGGCAACACTCTTCTAAATGCAAAGCCTAATGCTGCAAGAATGTTGGGTTTGCAAACTTGATTATGGTAGATGCGCTACCAATGCATCGATTTAGCACCCAAATTATTTTCAGGTTCTTGTTCTGCCATGGTCAACTTGTTTGCTTCTATTTATAGCAAGTAATTTTCCGTTATCATTCAAACATATCCCGTGTTGTCCATATTAGACAAGTTTATTTTATATATCACACATGAATTAACAATTGGATGATGTTTCGAGTACAAATTACTGCTCATAATTAAATCAATTAAATCAAATGGTTTCACGGTTTCCACAGAATTAGGGTGGCATTTAAACCAACCAACTTTTTCGGTTTAAGAAACCAATAGACCCAATTAAGAGAAATTATATAATTTGCCAAATACTATGTAATGACTGTGAGGTCAATTACATAGGTCAAACTAGCAGATAACGGTCAACTAGATTATTGAAGCTCAAAAATTTAGCTAGAAAGACTGACACTGCTAAGTTGAATAACCCAGAAAAAAGCTCACCCACTGCATTGCAGTCACATGCTTATAATCATAAAATAGGGTGGGACAGAGTGAGAGTATTAAAAAGTAATATAGTTAGGTAAAGAGAGAGAGGTTAATCACTGAAGATTTGTCTATTTTTTTATTTATTTTATCATAGCTTGACTCCACACCGTATTTTTGATACAAGTATGAAATTTTCAGCACGTGATATCGGTAGCCCAAATTTTGCAGGCCGACCATTGATATCAGGGTGTGCGTCGGCCGGGGATCGAACCCTGGACCATGTGCATGGTCGGCGAGCGTCCTAACCGCGGTGCCGCCGCCGCCGTCTATCGACTCAACACCACACTTGTGCAGTCGGAATGATGCAACGCCTATATCAGAGATATGGAAATTAGCAGCGAGAGAGAAAAAATATTTGGGACAACTGTCTGACTAAACTGATATGATTATGAGCAATAATTTATGCTCGAAACGTCATCCAGTTGTTATTACTACATCACTGTATGATTATTAAAATAAACTTATCTAATGTGGGATTTCTTTCTACCATAGTGCCCAAGTTCTGCACTTACAATAATGTCTTCTATGTGCATTTTACTAACTTACTTTTCCCACCTCCACACTTATCAGCTTGACACTGAACCTCCTTGCTTCTCATCTAATAACAATTTTCACCCTATTAAATTTCGAATCCTTACTTCCAATGCGGCAGTAATTATCATTTAATTTCCTTTAATCGTGAAGATCAATTTGTGAGTAACTGTGCCAATCATATCATGCAAGTCTATTACTCGACAGTAGATTACTATACGCTTTCCAGTAAATGTAAATATGGTTGTACAACTTTTGGAGATGGTTTTGCCGATAACAAATATTTGTTTTTACTGAATTGGCTTTTGTTTCCCCTGCGATTCAGTAGGAATGATGAATTTCATAAAAGTTTTTATTGATTAAAATTTACATCAGTAACCAGTGGTGCAAAGAGCTTTAAAAAAATTCTAAATTATTTATTTTATTGATTACTAAAATGTATATTCCAAAGGTGAATGTGTTAAAAACCAAAACTGATTCAGTGGTTATCTGTGTTTGTAAGACAGTTAATAATATCAGTAATGTTGTGCTATGCAAGTCTTCTTAGTTGATTGACTTCAGTTATTTGCATTTTTAATAACTTCAAGGGTATAAAGCATTAGTGCAGAAACAGACAAGACTTAAGAAATGAAAAAAATGTCGGTGGCACAGTGGTTAGGACTCTCGCCGACTATGCATATGGTCCGGGGTTCAATCTCCTGCTGACGCAGAACCGATATCTATGGTCGGCCTGAAAATTTTGGGCTACCGATATCCATGCTGAAAATTCCATACTTGTACTGAAAATACGGCGTGACATCAAGCTGTAATCAAAATATATAAAAAATTTTAAAAAAATATTTTATGGACAGTTTCATTTTTATTTAAGAATGTTTAATACTAATTTTGGCAATTAGTTGTGACCAATCAAAGACGACAGACAACGCTTAAACAAACAATAAAGGCAATTAGTTGGTCATCATTCAGTGGCAGCCTGAATGATTTTTTGACGTTATTAATGTTTACTCTTAGATGTCAAAATAAAGGAAATTAGTAAACATAGGCTTAGGTTATAAGGCATGTTGCTTAGTCATTCAAAGTATGTGGGTATCTGAATGAACTGGTATCTGGAAACAGTTATTCCAATTTAACTGAACAACCAAACTACATGTCTTATACCGTCAGCCGTACTATGAAAAAAATACTCGTAGTTAAATCGAAAGAATATTTTGTCTTTCGTTTATCTATTGTAATGATTAATTAAAACAAAACATTTAAAGCCTAATGGTGGACATAGGCGGAATAAAGAGTTTAAAACTTATTGAATTTATTTAAGATTCTTTTGCAATCACTGATGTGAAGCCCCGTGCACTAACGCTCAGTTCCTTTTTACTGACATATATGAATTATTATTGGTAATCTATTTACAATTAAACATGTTTGTAAAGCCAATTTAGAATCATAACTTTTCTGTTTAAATAACTTCACAGAGATTTTGGCACTCACTGCATCAATTCAATTCATGCTGGTGCAGTCTTAGCGAAAATTGATACATTAGACACAAGTTCATTCAATATCAAGAAAGAAGACAGATGGAAATTAGGCGCATCAGCTTCAACAAGCTTTGCAAATCTATTCAACTTCAAACTAGAAGGATCAACAAAAAGTAACACCTCTATAGTAAGTTCACTTTATCAAAACAAATGTTAGATCAAAAGTGTTCTTGATCTTATCAGACTGTTTGATAATCCAGGAATACTTAACTAAGTTTTGTAGGGGAGTTAATAGAGAGCTCGGTAATGGTACAAAATATCAGAATAAAAATCCAAGCTAATGAAATAATATTGTAACAGTATATGATGAAATATACAGTTAATGAGTTATAGAAATTAGTGGTTATCTAGTGATATAGTTACAGTTCGCTGCTACAAATTATTAATATAATCCACAGGAGAGTTCACTGCTGAGGTCGTGTCTACTAGTAGGACCTGTGCATCGGTTGTAGAATATTCTTCTGATGAGGATGAGAGGTTCCTGCAAAATCCAAAGGATACAACACAGTTAGCAGTGAAGCAAGGAGACAGTATGGACCAGTGAGAAGACGAAGTGACGAGCAGTACGCTATATATATTTTTTGTCCTCCGAAGTTATGTTTATTCTACAATGAATTGGTTTCAAAAAAAAGTTATATTCATTGTTTCCATTTGCAGCATCCAACAAAAAACTGTAAAATCATATTGTTCTAGACTTTTGTTTTCTATTTAAATTTGAAGATAGATAAAATTTAAGTAATTTACAGCAGTAGTAAAATATAATGGTGAGTGAAATAACTTTACACGCAGTTAAGAATTTTGACTGCTCATCGGAATTTACTCCACGCTTCACTTAACTAGAGCTGGTAGAGAGAATAATAACAAACATTTTATCCTTCAATAGAAACTGCATAAATTACAATGTCTGTAATAGCTATCACAAGAAATGATTTAGTTCACAAACAACAGCAGTAGAAATTAAAATATCTAACAGAATCATGCGAACATTCTATCAATTCGCCAATACAACTTTTAGGGAAAATCAAAAACATTCAAGTGGATGACAATGATATAATGGTGTCTTTTGATGTCACACCATTGCACACTTCAATTAGTCAAAACTAGCAAAGGAAACTATGCAACAATTACTATAAAGTGATGAAAACATAAAAACGTAATGTTCAACGTGGATAGAACTCATAGAATTATATCTTACAACATACTTCCAGTTCAATACTCAAATATACGAAGAGATAAAAAACACCAATGGGATCGGCCATATCAGGATTAATAACTGAAGCCATCATGCAAAGATTAGAAATAATAGCTCTACCTATAATTAAACCAAAACTCTATATACGTTACTTTGATGATACATTTGTAATAATTAAAAGAAATGATTTGGAATATACCCATAAATTAGTAAACGATATACTTGAAGACATCAAATTCACAAGAGAAGAAGAATTAGACAACGAAATTCCATTTTTAGATGTCTTAGGCGGGAGAACTAACTCAGGAAATTTAAAAATACAAGTATATAAAAAATCAGCGCACACAGACCAAATACTCAACTGCAGTAGAAATAGCTCAATTACCTAAAAAAGAAACTGTGAGCAGATATTGTCTAAAAGAGTTCAAACACACAGTAGCACTCTAGTCTTGAAGAGAATGGAAGAAAAATACTTACTAACCGTCTTCAAAAAGAATGGATATTCTCACAATTTCATCAGAAAGTGTTTAAAATCGAGTCACAACACCAACAAGAAACCATTATCAAAGACTACAAGAAAATTCATTCTACCATATATAAAAAATATCTCTGAAATAACAGCTTGAATATAAGGACCGTTTGAAATAGATATAGCACACAAGCCATCCAAATCACTGCATTCGATATTGTGCAAACCGAAAGATCCAATGCAATACTATAGCTCAAACAAACTCACAAAATATCATGCCGGATCGGTCGGGGCCCGGATTAACAACGACCGCGCTTCCTGCTGCTGTTTCACAGGGCAGAAGTGATAAATATGCTACTGAGACACACCAAAAAAGAAAGAACAACCAAAAACAGGCCACGTGTGACCGGCCTCAAGCAGTTGTCCCCTGGGCTCTGCGGTCACACAACACTAACCTTTTCTCTCTCCCCTTCTCAGGCGTGAGGCTAACAACCCCACCCTGTAAACAAAGCTGCTACAGAAACTTCAGCACGAAGAATCTCCTTGCTCCAAAAGAAAAACAGAAAAAGGAGATAAAATTATTTCCAATTTACAAAATAAATTGTGTGAACTGTAACAGACATTACATCTGTCAAAGTGGGCGTCCCCTTCGAATCAGAATCCAGGAACACAAATTAGCTGTGAAAAGATATGATATATATTCTTCATATCAATGCATGCGGATAATTATGGACACCAATTTAGTTGGGATCATGGGGAAATTATAAAGAGAGGAAACACCAAAAATAGTCAAGGAATTGCTAGAAGCCTGGTACTCAAGCGAATCAGCGATTAACAAACATATTCACATCGACAATATTTACCAACTAATAAAAAGTAAATCACGTGATGAGAAAGTTCAAGTTCCAAGTCAATAAAAAATGATCAATACAGATGCAAACCGACTACCAGTCACGATGGTAGCCAGGAGACACAAATCTGTCATTCATGGAGAATTTAAATCAGTTTATTTTATGCTAAAACTTGCGAAGAAGACGAAAGCTTCGCAATTAAACCAACCAGCTCAGAGAACACAACTAATTCCAAATCATCCAACTGAAGTAAAAATCTCCTCTATTGTTTCAAGCAGTAGAATCATCTATTGTTAAGGATAGAAATTCTAAATGTTAGATACTATATGAGCTTGAAAATTTAACCATAAGCGTGTCATCTAAATTTTGGGTGACTTCATCAGCATTCAGTTAACATGCACGTCATTAATAAATTTAATAATAATAATAATAGTATTATTTTGATTACAAAAAATGCTTTTACACTTAGAACAGAATTCTCAACGCATTTTTTTTACAAAATATTTATCTCTGTACGGAGGTTTCGGACAAAATAAGATGGTCGAGAGTATATTATTCGACGAAAAATACCTAGCTATATGTTGAAAACTGTCTTAACATGCCTGTAAATACAAAGTTGCAAACCAAGAATTGCATAAAACAAAAGCATTGAACGGGATAAACTCTCGAAACGATCTCCTCCATGTCACCCATGACCCACCCTTCCCTTCGCATTAGGATTCCACTAGTGCAATGACCTGGCACGTGATTTCATTTGATGGCCTGAACGTATGACCAGTTCATCTCCATTTCATTCTACATATTTGTTGAAGGTAGCTTCTTGGTTAGTTTGTTCCCAAAGTTCCTCGTTGCTAATTCTTTCTGGCTGACCATTTGATCTTCAGCATGGAGCCAACGAAGGCAGCTGTTGATAAAAGTCTGCAACGCGTTGGAAGTCATAATGAAATAGAAGGCAATTAATTTTACTGTTTAGCACTAATCTATTTATACAAAAACAAGTATATATATACATATATTTATAGCAGAGAATGATAGATAGATATTTGCTGTGTTGCTAGGAATTCTGAAACATTAGTTCTAAACATCTCCAGAAATGCAGTCAGTCAACCTGCACATTCTGATTTGACAGTGGACATCTTGCCTCAGCTTTGTTTACATTGTGGTTAAGTCTCGCTTGACAAACTGAGCTAATTCACTAGCCATTTTTTTGAAGTCTCGTAGTTGCATCTCACAGAGCAGCTGGTGGAACGTCAGTTTTGTGTTTTGGAAACATTTATTAGAAAGGATAAATGATTTGAATCTACACTGTTTTTGCCACAATTTGCTTTTAGGTTTTATGAACCTCCACTGAGGATCGACTGATAATCTGCAGCACTTGTGTAACCAACCCTTAATGTTTTTGTTACACCCACGCTGACTGACACTTCATGTCTAGGTTAAGAAAATTGTTATAATATGCATGACACTGTGTACTGTCACCTATGTGGTAATCCTGGGCTAAAAATCCATACACTGTTTCTTTCTGTCTTACAGCAGCTTGGGCTTTTGTTTTAACTTCCATCATAACTTCTCATTAAAAGTGACTCAGTCTTCTAATTCGGTGTGTTCTAGGCGGTCTAATGAACAAATGAGACGGTTTTATTCATATTATTTAATCACTGTGTACCATATTCATTCACCTCGTTCAGATAGTGAATGTTTCCTAATCTTAAGTGAATAAATAAAATAACTAGTGCCTACATATTATCCATACAATATAATAAACTCTGACTTAAATACAAAGATACTTTTTACATTGGCTAACTCATGTGACAGCAAATAATCAGACTAGGATGTAAGGGAGGCCGATTAGAGATTGATGAAAACTATCACTAAGTTTCTTATCGTTGTAACAAAGTGAGTATTGCTTACATTTTATAAGTTGGTCTTTAGGAGTAACACAACACTTTATTCACTTGGTTTCAAAATGCATAATTGATGAACGGTGTTGTTGTATGGATGAATGTTATGTTTTGGTACCAGGATGTAAGTTTTATTTTCTCCATGAAATTCTGCTAAAAGATACTCCTTTGTCTGTCATATAGTTGAAACTAGTCAACAGAGAATCTCTGAAATTCAGTAGTCATGAGAACTCGAATCAGTACTGATATAAGTAGCTTCACCGAAACGCTTTACCTGATTTCACTGATTATCAATAGCAAACGCGTTAAAATTCTTGTTCAGATAGGAGTCTCCCATGAAGAATGAAAGAGTAAGCAGTTAAATGAAAACATCGTTTAGGTAGTTTGATTTACTAACCTACATAATTGCAATTAAAGATAATTTTTCATTAGCACGTACAAACTGTTTTTTATCTAGAAAAGTGTGCCAAGCATGGCAACATACAGATCAATTACAACATTCTCGAAAATAATAATACAGAGTAAAGAAAACTTGAACTTGAATTAAGACTAAGACCGAAATCAGTCGGGTTCGTTTTGTATAAGTGTTTTAAATGATAGGACACAACAGCTGATTGTATCTCGGTGCTGGATGTTTGAGGTCTATCGATAGAAGCACATGAAGTGGAATTTCGTGTTGAGTGGGTGTTATTAATAATAATTATACCTCACTTAATATAATTTGTCTGGTAGTTAGTAATGTTTACATAACATGACCATTAAAAATGCATTGATTATACATTAGTTTTTATCTCATCTCAGTCATGCACATTATTGTTCATTGGTAGGTAAACCCGTCTTTTCAGTAAAAATCAATGTAATTAATTGATCGTAGTAGAACAGTTATTGTGCAACAAGCAGATTACTGTAATAACATGCTCATTTATCAACTAATGCATTATTTGTATATGTCTACGGTCGGTCTGTGTAATGTAGTTACCTCTGTACCTATTGATAATCTTTATTAACATTCATTTTCTGATGAAGAAATTTCTAGAATAACAACTGAAGTATATTTCTGTTGTAAATGATTAAGCTAGCTTCAAAATAAAGTTTCAAATGAGGAAAAGTTGAGAACTGTTTTCTGAAATCAGTGCACCAGGGGCACAGCAGTTATGACTCACGCCGATCATGCACATGGTCCGGGGTTCGATCCCCTACCGGCGCACACCTGATATCTATGGTCGGCCTGCAAAATTTGGGCTACCGATATCACATGCTGAAAATTCCATACCTGTACCAAAAAATACGGCGTGGAATCAAGCGGTAATCAAAAACCAAAATTAAGAAAGTATTCTGTGTAACGCGTTGATTGCATATTATTGTTTCAGTTGAACTGAACTGTAGTACAACTTTGTACTTTCCTGAGGACAGTTTCTTTCAAGAAACTAGTCACTTGATTGTCTTACTACATTTAAATGTAATGAGCACTGTTGTGTGCTCATAGTGTGTGTGAACCTAGAGAGGACAGAGGTGGTGAAGATAACCAACCAACAACAACAACAACAACAACCAGCACCAATCACCATCAACGGGAGAAATTTGAAAGATTCTTGTATTTGTATATATGTCGCAATGGGCGTTATTAATTTACATTAATGATTGTTAGCTTACCTAACAACTAGATCAGGGATGGCTTCATTCATTATAAATATTTTGATCTCTTATTTGTAGTGGGAGACTTTCGGGATTTTGAAGTGATGTGATAAGAAAGGGTTCAAACTGGGACCGACAGTTTAAGTTGTCAGTTACTATGGTCAAATTCTGCCAGATTCTGAGTTTTATGTCCGCTACTGTGTAGATCTAGATGACTTCATTAGATACTTTGATTTTTCATTAAGCCAGTAGAAATGTATTCACTATTTGCTCATTTTCCCAGTTTGCAACAAACAGCATATGTATGTGTTGGATTGTTCCTGCAGTTTAATTATCAATAATGCTCTTTGTCGATCTTGAAATCTTCAAAAGGAAACGAAAGGATATAAGTGTATTCAGCACTGCTATTTAAGTTCTGACCAACCAGAACACTCTAGTGTGCGAAGTCAATAAGGTATGCAGAACTCCTACAGTCTCAAAGTGAAACTGTGAATAATTCGGCCCATCAAGATTAGTTTTAGTGCTGTTACTCACCGTTAAGATCAGAAAACACTGTATGAAGACTTAGTATCAGATACACAAAATGTAAGGAAACAGCTCATCAAAGTAACCACGACTTCTGAGAACACAAAAAAGCATAACACTAAATGCGCAAGAAAGTGTGGTGAAACATAACTCCATATTTACAAATTAAATCATAGTGTTGAGAAAAAATTTACGAATAATTCTGAATAACCCTAAATGATACGCTTCTGTAGTTTTTTTTAAAAAAAATATCTTCTTCTTAAACTGCCATTTCCTAGGCAGAAAATTATGAAAGTAAAATAACCTACAGTGAAATCTTAACTTATGGTGGTCCAATCATACATATGTCAAGCGTTAATTTGTCCTACTGGGAAGCTGATCTAGATAATCAGTTGGTTGCTATCGACAGAAGTGGACAACCAATTTATGAAATTATTACGGATAGATCACTGCCTGAATTACCTGGAAATATGATATTACGTCTAACTGCTACACTGAAATCAGCCGTTGAAAGATACTATAAAGCTAATACAATAGTTGGTAAGTCATTTTATTAATAATTACAATAATAATAAATATGTAATACTAATCAGAGTAAGAATATCTGTTTATGATAAAAATGCATTTATGTTACATTATGTTACACATATATATGACAATTTTACAAGCGTAATGAATACTTTGTCTGAATTCAATGATTTCTCTGAAAAATTTCGTTTATTTTTTTTAACCATTATTTCTGCACACTTCAAAGATAGATGAACATGATTATTAATATCCAGAATGATAATAAATGTTTTTCTATGAAACCAAAGTTAACATAGCACGAGACTACTCGGTAATTGTTGGTCTAGTCGTTTCCAGGTGACTACCAACACGTACGGTGGTAAAACTATCTGATAAAATATGCATCTTAGATCTTGCTGTACCTAATGTCTAACACTATTTATTTAAAATCTTAATTAAATAATTTTTTGATAGCTGACACTTAAGAATGTCGACTAATCATTTAGGACAATAGTGAATATTTTTTAAAAATGTAGGAAATTCGTCCTTGTAAGCTGTTCCTAGTAGCATTTATCAAATCCACAGTCATTTACAGGTCAAGTGGAACTATGGATTTCTTAACGACCTCCCCTGAAAAAACCAACTTAATTTCTACAGGAACTTTGGAGAACAGTAAACACAAACTTGTTCCCCATTGGAACTATGGGGAACGAATGATCCTAGCTGGTGAAAGCATTTGGGAAGCGAGTCAACAGACAATTCTTTTTTCGATTAATGCAAAAGTTAATTTAAGGAAACGGAATGTACGCACTGTGTTTGAGGCTCACTGACTGGCAAGGCAAGGTAAGAAGGCACGGTGTAGAGGTGCTAGGAATCTGTGACAGCAGATGGAGTTTATGTAAACCCTTGAAATCACCGACGAAGGAGTCACCGATATTTTCATACGACAACCACGAGCACACTGGCGGTGTGTTGCAGGCTCCTGCGCCTTCAGCAGCTTGGTGATTCGGGGCAGCATATGAAAGCGCAAGGATATTAACAAGGTGGCGTGGGTTTCACCACACAGATACACCAAAATCAAATAAACCATATCTCAATCTCAAGAAAGAGGAGACTGAAGCTGCTTAACACAAGATCAATAACAGAAGTAGATGTAGGTTCAGGTCATTATCTAGTTCAGTTAATCTTAAGGCTCAAGATGAATGTTTTCAAAGAAGCTGAAGATAGGCGGTCTTTCACGTTCAGCATTCAGAAAGCGAAGGAAAAAGCTACAAAAAGACATTTTCACAGCCATCACTAGAATTAAGCAACAACACTGAGTAAACCTGTACTGAAGACCATTAGTACTCTCTAAAGCGATATGGAGAGAAATATGTATTGACATCTTATGCAGGAATAAGAGTCAGGAAAAAAATGCCACATTGCGGTGTTTCATCAGATGTCAGATGTCTTTGCTTGGTGCTGAACATCATACAGCTGCATAAAAAATAAGCAAAAAGGGACTCTGTTAAAGAACCAAAAATCTGTTGCCCAACAAATATACAACAGGAAAAGGAGATGAGCTGGGCATACAGTAAAGAGCTCGCTGACTGACATCATTTACCAGGCACTCAAGTAGCAGCCGAATGGGAAGCGATGAGCTGGGCTGGGGTCGGTGATCATGTCGGAGGGAAATGAAAGTTTGTAAGCAGATGTGGAGCCAGGTGAAAATAACAGCAGAGAACAGAGTGAAGTGAAGATAGGTCGCTGAGGCCACGCGTTACACACTGAACTCAAGCTACGAATTAAAATCTTTGAATTTACTACTGAATTGCTTTTATATTTTCTGATCTCTTAGACTTCCTCAATGAAGCAAATATACGATCCTGATGATTATGAAACAAGTAAATCTAAATCGGCCAAACCACCTTACTGAATCACTCCAGATTTCGACATTCTAAAGTGCTCAAGAAAAGTATGGCTGAATTAAGAGGAACACATGGTTATTTTGCTTGATAATGATATCATATAGTAGATTTAAGGTTACAGTTGACATCTTATAAATTACTTTGGAAAATTTACTTTGTGTTTTTAGAATAGCTACTTCTTAAGCATTTTCTATTGATAAAACTATGAATCAGATTGCAGTTTGATGAGGGTAAATCTTTCGCAGTAGAATTTCAATTACAACTAGTTTTCTGTTGGCATAAAATCAATGAAGTTAGAGGATTGCAAATCCTCTTCTGGTCTGGTTACTACCAGATTTTTATTTTATCTTCATATCCACATATTCCACCATGGCAATACCACTTGTACATGGAAGGTCAGGCTTTTCTCATTTTTTCAATAACTTAGTTAAAATTTATACAACTCAGCACTCACAGAATACACTTACTGAGTTTTATACAACATGTGTATGGAGCTAGTGTTCAGCTGACATCTGGTTTTAATTTTTCTAGAAATTACTTCCCAATCTGCCTTACTATACACCTTTACCTCACAGAAAATTACTTCTATTTGTAGGTTGTATGAATCCCTTGTCCGCATTTTATGACAATGAAGCCAATGTAGCCTCTACGGAATGTGATATACAAAATGCCAACAAGTTGAATTCAACCTTATATCTCGGAGGTGTATTTCAAAAGTGTGTTGGTCCAGACGATTTGTGCATTAGTGAAATCATAGCGAATCCACTTACAGGTGACTTAACCTGTCCTCATGGATATATACCTATACAACTGTTGCCACAACAGGTTCGAAGGTGTTATAGTATATGTAATGAAAAAACATGGTTTAAAACACCTGAATGTACAACAAATTGTGCTATTACAGAATCTTTCTGGTGTTCACGTGATCCATCATCTGACCTGTTAGATATCAATGATAGCGGTTACTTATTCGGTGGTTTATACACAGATAAAGAAGTGAACAGTCTAACGAAACAGTTTAACTGTCCACAACATTATTGGCCAATAGCACTTGGTAGACGTATGAGAATCTGCTTATCAAGTGATCGTGAACTAGCTGGAAAGTATTCATTACCATTTGGTGGGTTCTATAGTTGTTATTCTGGAAATCCTTTAATATCTTTAATCAGTAGCAGTAATCAAACAGGCGTGAATGATAATTTGGCGAGAACTGCATTGATGTCAGATTGGTTAAGAGATCAGCCGCAAGGACGATCTTCACTCACAAGAAATCCACAACAACAAAGTCAAATAGGTTTGGCAACTCCACCAACATCACAAGGAGAAGAAGATATTAGTCCTTTCAGTGGATTATTCTTACAAAATGAGAATTCACAACTATTTGCAGCATTGTGGCCGAAAAGGTGTCCGACTGGATATACAGCGCATTTAGCTTCAATGGAAGATATATGTCAAGTAAGAAAGAATATTGGTTTTGCATAATTTTATAATCAATAAATCAAGTCAACGTTACTTTTATCATGAGTCAAATTAAACTGAATAACCATTTTCGTTCTAATTTGAATACTCTGAAAAGTATTCAGTTTGATTACTTTCTATGAAAGTATTGACGACTTTCTAAGTTTTAAATACATAACGTCTGTTGGTTCCCAAAGCGAGATTCCCATGAAAGGTTAAACTACAGAGAGAAATATGTTTTCAAGTATTGGTTTTGTAGGGATTTTGTTTAATTGCATGGAGGATTTTATCATGAGCTGACATCAGACAGTTAACCTGGGGTTCTAGTGGGAAGCCGTGACCAGTAGGGTACAGCAGGTTGAAGATAAGGCGGTAACTCGTCGAAGAAGACATTGCGAAATGGTCGCGCTATGTCGTGAATTGGCAGAAGTTAGAATTCAAGGACCATTGGATCGGGTCCCAGTGGCTCAATGGTCTACGAGCTCGCCTTGTAACCAGAAGGTCCTGGGTTTGAATCCCGGTGGGTGCGTACTGCTGAAGAGTCCCAAACTAGGAAGAAATATGTTTGGCTGACAGGTTAGTTGTCACTTCTGAGCATCACAGACTTTGATAGAAAAGCAGTTAGTGTAGAGATATAAGTCATCAGGTAATGAACTAGTGGTCTTGAGCATCACCGGCAGAACTAAAAAAAAACGCGTTTCGTGGTATTGTCTTTCATAATCCAGTGTTAAACTTGGTATTCATATGGTTAAGAGAGATATGGCTGCCGAGTTTTCATTCAAAAAACTAGTGGTTAGAATACTACGACAGCCAGCTTCAGCTTCTTTTCCCTTAAGATAAAAACTGGGCTTCTAGATAAGACTAGGTAAAGCGACTCTATATAAATATCCTGGTCAAGAAGCATTGTCTTTGGCATTATCGTATGAAGCGAATGACACAGACTCATTTTAAACTACAATTCACTAACCAACAAGCCATTATCATTATATAATATAATAATAATATAATATATATAAAATAATTATATATATTATTTTACACATTGCATAGGTCAATTACTGTGTTCAAGCAAACGTCCTACAGGAACAGCGAAAACGTCAACTGAAAAGACCACCATTCGTACTACCCGTAAGTGATTTACTGTTCAATATTAATTGGGAAATGTTCAAAACAAATAGATTTTAAACTGAACACAATGGACCAAAGATGATCCTGTGTTGATTCTCTTCTCCGTTTCCCTTTGTCTGCACCTGAGTGAATCGAATAATCACTCAGGTTGAACATTTTGTTGTTATTTGTTTTCAAGAGTTAATTACTCTTTAGAAAATCGTTTGTTCAGTGTTGGGATCACTTCGGCCTGTCTACGGTTAGCGTAATGACCTGAGTGGACTCCAATAATTCCAATAAATTATTAGAATACCATAAAGTAATTTTACATTTTCAGAAAGTCTGTACTTCATAAGGAAAGGAATAGTTCCCGGTATTTGTTTCGTTTTAGATAATATTTTTAAAGTGTACAAATCGGTTTATCTTACCTCCAAACTATAAAAAAATTTCAGGAAACTATGTACCGAAAAAGTGGTGATAAATAAAGAATAATTTATTAATATCAAGCTTTCAGCAGAAATTTCGTCGCCAACCAATAGCAGTTGTAGAAATATTAAAAACCCCTGGACTGGTGTTTTTCAATGCTTTTTAGTATTTTAACTGAGAATAGAAATACAGGTGTTTGGGTTCGGTACTGAAATAAGATGGACAACTCGACTGAAGACGGAATAGGACTGTTCGCCCTCAAATATCTTTTGCCGTACTGAGCTCTCAGAAAAATCAGAGAATAAGACTGGTTCAGTCTTCTGCAGACCTCAGTATCACTAACTATATTCAACCAGTGAACGCGAGAAACTGAACGCAAACACTCACAGTCAAAGACGGTCGGCCTCTGTATATCTTCAACTTTCAACCGGCATGTTTCACAGCTTCCAAGACAGACAGAGAGAACTGCTGCACAGTACACATTAGAAGGACGAATCCTACACCATTCATACTAAGAATTTCTCTTATGGTGTTCAGGAGACTGTATTTACTAGAAGCTTCACCTAGAAGGACTATATCTAATCGTTCCTGGTAATGAGTTAACTTCGAGATATCAAAGTTTATCAGAATCACTTCAATCAGTTAATATATAATGAAATGGAACAAAAAATGGAGACATTCGGGATCCCTGAAGGACACCACTTTAGATAACAACTTCCCATGAGACTTTACACGGTTGTGTGAATGCAGGTAGTACCATAAATAAATTCAACCTCTTCCGGGGCTAAATCACGCCTAGTTTCACTGAGCCCAATACTGTCTTCTTAAGACCATGGAACTTAGAGTCTTAGATACGGTATTAGTTGAGCTTATTCCCGTGTGATTATCGCATGAAAAATTGCCAGCATTACTAAAAATTGCGACAATCAATAATCCCCAGCCAGATCACCTCAAAAACAACATTTATTGTTCCTGAATCACTACGCTACATTTCATTTATTATTAGATATCTTGATATTTTCCGTTTTCGAATCATTGAACTTTATTGGTCAGGTCATGAATGAACTTAACAGCTGCTGATATGTCAAAAAGTGTTTTCTCTTTAGAAACAGAATTTCTCCAAAACATGATAGTTATATAACTATTTTTTTTTCAAAATAGAGGAGTTAAAAGCCATTCTTGATTCTTATAACAAAACAATAGTGAAGATGAAAAAAAAAGTTTTATAAATTATTACAGATATACACAGAAATGGGTAAACCAGTGTCATCTCCAAATAATATTCAAGGTAGATCTGCTTTACTTGAAGTAAGTCATGTAAAAACAGTGCACCGATAAAACACTATTATCACCCAGCACACATTCTAATAGAATGTCACCAGTTGAGTCATTTTACATTGAAAAACGCAAGTACACTCATTTTTATCAACTTTTGCACAACCCACCAATTTTAATTTTGTTTCATTTAGTTATTGTATACTTCTATTGTAACAACAGAAGACAAGGGCCAGGCAACAGATCGTTTATTAAGGAAAATCAACACATATTTATAGATTTTAATGTACATTATTGTAGATTATTGTTAGTAGAAAATACAGTTTTTTGATTGGTTGTTTCTCACAGAAAGTTAACCTTGCATCTCTTTGTGGCTGTGTCAGATCATCCATATGCTAACTGTATCCGCCTACGCAAAGCCTTTGTTCTCATTTTCTCACCACCAATATTGGGGACATAAACATTGACGTCAATTACTGTCTACTAACTTTGGCTAGCAGCCAGCTGTCACCACACTATGAAGGAATGTATTATTCGATGGCAGCTAGAAAGACAGTCTCTAGAGTTTGATAAGCTTAAATTGAAGTAGTAATAAATCTTCACACTTATACAGGCTGAACAGTTTCACCCCAAAAAATTGAAACAGTTTTTCAAAAGTAAACGTGACAAACCAAGTAATAATAAGGCAGGAATTTGGATAAAAATAAAACCTAATAGCTCCCTCAGGAACAAATATTTTGTGCTTGGGGTTCCAGATGGACAAAATCATTTAATTCACCAAATAGTGTGAGGCCAAATGCATATTTCAAACCCGTAGATCATCAAAACAGGATTTAGGTCAATCCAAAATGACAGAGCCCACTGAGATAAGTGATCTGGAAGAGAACATAGAGACGACTGAGCATGAAGTTACATACAATAAAACAAGTGGGTGCGAAATAGTAAAAGTATTCAGAAGTAATTCACTGATAGATTTTATATCAGTGAATATATTATGTCCATTGAATCAACACCCCATCAATACAACATAAATGACACTGAATCAATCCGGGATATATAAAACAGTGAATATAATACCACACTGAAGTAGAACTATAAAAAAAGCAAGTTGAGAGGTGATGTCGGTCGGTCGGTTTTCGACATAGAACTTTGCACCGATGTGCAGCAGTTCAAGTCGCAACACTCCATGTAGCACACAAAGCAAGAGAAGAAAGTAGAAGAAATGCATAATAGAGACAGTAGACAGGGATATGAGACAAAGGAATAGTAATAACGAAGAACAAAACAGTTTCATTGGAAATTATAAGTCACAAGGAGTGGATGCATTTGCACCATTGAGAACGATTTTGAGCCATATCACCGATTGTCTCCAGCCATTAGTTTTTACCGTCCTGAGGACTCTAACCTTCTTACGTGGCTTAAACTAACTGTTGTAGATCTCATTGACTAGTGCCCTGTTTTGGTTTGACCACTACAGGCTCTTTTCCAACCTGATCTATCCTATGTCAGCTAACATTGTCCGTCGAGGAAGGCGATGGCTAGGCATGCGTAACACGTCTCCTAACCATCTCAATCGATGTAGCTTCACAGCCTCGTCGATTGATTTCCCCTCCTTACCTAGCATTCAGCGCCTAAACTCACTATTGTTTACCCTACTATACCACTTCACACGGGAGATAGAACGCAAACACCTATGATCAAAGACAGCTAATCTTTTCATGTCTTCCACTCTCAATGGCCAGGTCTCACAGCTAGGCATAAAGGAGGACGGAGCGGAATGATGAGCAGTAAACACGCCCTTTGGTCGATAATCGGATATCACGTCTACGCCAGAGATGGCGTAAACTGGAATATGCGAGACTAGCCCTCTGTATTCGTACTGAGATTTCGTCAGAGATCAACCCGTTGGGGTTGATAGTACTTCCCAAATAAGTGAAGCGGTTAACGTGCTCTACGACTTCACTTCCTATTACTAATCTAGGGGTCGGTGTAGTCCAATCCTGCAGCATCATCTTACATTTTACAGGGGCGAATCGCATGCCAAACATACGAAGATTGCTGCTCAACGTGTTCAGTAGACTCAGAGGTGATGTGAGTAACTTGATGCGATTATAAGCAGTAAACTGAGGTTAGAACATCAAACATTAACTAATTCTGTATCACTGTGCGTTATAATCTATCAAAGTACCAAAATTTTACTCTTGCAGCACGTATTTTTCAGATTATTGACCTATACAAGCATATCTGTCAATCAAAGAACAATCAGTTAACATCTTATACTGCAAATGCTGAAACTGAGTTAAAATAATACGACCTAATGAACTCTTTATCACCAATTCATTCACGCAGGATATTTCTAAACATCAGCTAACTGAATAAATGAGACGGTTTATAAATTCATCAATCAACCCACGTAATGCAACCAGGACAGAACTATATTTTCACAGGGGGAAAAGTTATGAGTAAAAGAAATGCATTGTATAAGATTTGAAAAAAGTCAAAGGGATTCAATATCTGCATGCAACTTTAGGCATTTATGAAAACGACGTACCAAATGCTGTTTGAGTATCTCTGCTCACATTGTGGACGGTCAGTTCTTCTGTGAACGCCTGACTTTCTAGCTGAAAGTGAAATATTTCCATCAAAACCTAAATCTTGCAGTAACTTAATGAATTACGTAATATGGTAGTAATCATAATGTAAGATTTATCCTAAAAATTTGTCAAAACACTACACAGAATTTTCAGAGTAGTTTTTTTTCACAAAATAGTGATTCCCTGTTTAGAGTCTTCAAGCAGACATTCATCGACAGTAGGTTCTATGACCCAATGTCATTCTATCTGGGAAAAAAAGACTCACACTGCTGCGATATTTTCATCTTCAAGTGCACAGTTGAAGGTCAATTAAAAGTTTGTGTAAGTTTATGTTACTGTCCAAAGACATAATCAGAAGATTAGAAAAACAAGAAAGAAATTTAGGTAGTTCAGGAGCTTAAGCAAGCCGCTAAAGATATCGTGGAATGATAATAATAATAATAGCTTCAGAATACGAAGTCAATAGGAATTAGTTTCAATTTCGTCTTGATAGACACCTCAACCATCACGTAATCACGTCACAGACATTTAGATGAAAGTCTCCGTAGGAATATATGTTTTGACCATCTCACACAGGCGGACTGAACTTTCAGTGTACCATGTAACACTTACAGGTATGATGTGAATTTAGCGAACAAATACACCAAAGTACCAATCATTTTTGATCATTTTATAGAATAACAAAAAATATTTGTTCACAAATTTCACATTTCGCAAAGTTGTAATTCAATTCATGCAACTTCCTTTTTTTGCACAAAATGAATAAACAAAGTAACCAGTTAGTTTATTCGATTTTTAGTTTGTAAATGGGGTAAAATTTTTAATGCGTTTTATTTAAAACATCATGAAAGTGGTGTTTTTGTGAAATGGTGATTATTATTACTATTGTTGTTATCTAAATTTTATATATAAACATGTAATCATAAAATTTAAATTAGGTTAGGATTAAAAATGAAATTACAGAAAAATATTTAGCATTATATATATATATATATACATTGTTTAAATGTCCTAATGGATTGAATAAAAATACGAATTCATTACTTCTCTATGTGTGCACGTAATGAATTTGCTTACGTTCAGAATGGTATTTTAATTCTGAAAACTATACCGCTGTATTGATTAAAGATGGTTGTACTTTTATTCATTATTAATGAATGTGGAAGTCAACAAAAAACCAGTGATATAGTGTTGTGAAATACTTGGCATTTCAACAGATTGTTACCAGATATTGTCAATTAATCCATACGAACCTATTTCTGACCTCTGTTTCCCGCTTGTTAGCATACGTACATTAATTTCTCACAGGCCACCATTCTAGGTGACTCACCGTCACGGTGCACTGTAAATTGTTGATATTATATAGTTGGAGGCAATGGGCAGGAAGTCTTGGACCTAGGTTCTGTGCAAGATGGCACTCATGAGCCTTGCTAACGAGTGTCATTTAGGACGGAACCTAGGTCGAGGACTTCCTGCCCATTGCCTCAAACCATATAATATCAACAATTAGTGATCACTGTTAATAACACTTTTATCAAATAACCTAAATTGATCTTAACAGGATGAAACTTTAGAATTGTTTGAAAGTTATTTGAACATTATTATCCCTACATAATTAAACTACTTTGTGTAATTTCTCTTATTATTTTTATTTTGGTAACAGTTCTCACTTGATCCACATTTATTTAAATTAAGTGATTCAAACAATTTCATTGGTACAAGTTCAGATACAGTACACGATGTTAATGGTAATATGATAAAAAAAGTAAACGGCCGTTGGGAAGAGCCTGATCAATACAACGACAATAGTTATAATTACAACAATAATGGTAATTCGAAACGTAATCAATACGCATTTGCTATAACACTAAGTACACTACTACCAATTAATGTTATTTTAATTATTATTATATCTGTAATTTTGTTCTATTATACACGTCAAAAGACAAGGTTAGCAGCACAGTGAAATTCGGCGCCTCTACCTGTGAAGTGTATTTTTCTCTCCAATTAACCAGTGAGTACACAACATAATCAGTATATCATGCGATGTGTTACACGACAAAGTGATTTGTTTTTTAAATGACTTGTGAAGGTGGTAAATCAGACGAATTAATTTTCAATTTTCCTCAAATAATATATATATATATATATATAAACAAATAAACGTTATATTTTAATTGAAACAGTTAACTTTTTTCTCTCACTGATGCCGTGTACTAAACAACCTCCAACTTACGCTGATACTTAGTAAAAATCTCGTCAGTGAGTGATTTGTTGGGAATACGTAATCAATGACACGTATCTACAGGATAATTAAAAAAACAATTTTTTTCACTGTTTGGAAATCTACTTCGTCTCACAGATCAGTACTCCGCAGTCGAGGAGCACCGTTTTTTTTTCAAGTAACGAACATTGGCACTATGGATCACCGAAATTGTATTCAAAATACTCCATCAAGAGCCCCATGCATCACTTTGTGTTTGCTTCCCACACTATCTCAATAAAGCTAAGTTTTATTAGTGACATTGGCTTGGAGTCAGCTTACAACAACTACTACTAAGTAGGACTATCAATTTCATATCACTGGTCACTTATAATGATCAATCATTGTGAGCAGTGTTTACTCTTAAGCACAGTAAACTAATGCTTAAGACTTTCGCAGCTTTCAATTGCAAGTTTTTGGAGTGTGCTACCCAGAAATTTTAAGGGTTTATTGGAGAAAAGCTGTAAGAGTTTGTGTACTGCTCATCCCCAATTTGTTTATGAGGGATTTTATTGTTCATTGTTCCATGAGTTTCAGGTGGGACACATACATGTGACTTTAGAAACATATTTCCGTTCCACTGTGCTCTGTTGTCATCTTCACCCAACTCCATGACTGCACACAAGATTTCATTCCCTCCCAACATAGTCTCTTGTATGACACCCTCAAACCCCGGCCAAATCCATTGCCCTTGTTCAGGTTCGACTCGGGTACCTGGCGTGTGACGTCGCTCAACAGTCTCCTCATCAAATGTACGATCCATTTCCTCTTGTATATTTGTTAGGTAACAAGTTCTTTATTAGTTCACTGTCAGATGATTTCCTTGTCGCATATTATTTCTGGCCGGTCATTTGTTCTTCAGCATTGAGCAAAAATATCAGCTGATAAAATTCTACTGCCTGTTGGGAATGGTTTTCATGACACTTCAAGCCTGTGAACAATATGGAAGCTTTGACTCACGTTCTCCTGATTCCAGCGGAGCATCATTTTATTTCTTCTGTGCTTTCAAGTGACAGTAGCGATGTAGTTATTGTTTGTCGGGCTTAAGAGAGAATTTTAGGAGATACGACAAGATGATTTCAACAAACAAAGACATAAATATGGATAAAAATGATGCTGACCAAATTAATTATTGTGCACAGTTAGAAATACTATCTCACTACAGAGAAAATAGTGCTTGTGCTATTATTTGATCCTGAAATGGTAAAAATAGAATTTTAATTGGATAAATCACAAATATAACTGAATTCTGAGTGTAGTTTCAATCGAATTTCATTGACCGTACAAAAAATAGAAACAAGAACAGGAGTTTTACTGAAATAAAACTTGGGCACTGTGGTAGAGTATAACTCGGTTATGGATAAGATTTTATTTTGATAAATCACACAGTGTTATACAGTAATATTAACCGATGACGTCTCGAGTACAAACTATTGCTCATAATCATATCAAGTTACTCACACAACTTTTTACTTCATTTATATACATGTGTGGAATTGACTAGATATTTGATTAAAAATCAATATGAGATAATGTACATTCAGAAATAATAATACGAGTGTTAATGATCAATTACAACCACATGGGAAATAAGACGAATGTTCTTATAGTTATAATAAGTAACTTGTTAGAATGTTGTGATGTGCTTGAATTGAAATAGAATTTGAGATCATTTATTATCCTCTTCTGATATCTTCCATATTTTTGGTATTTGCATTGAGTCATTTCTGTTGCATGTGTTGAGTGTAGACTCAATGAACCAGGATTCAGTAATCAATCTCTCTCTCCACCTACTTATATTACTTCTTAGAATCTTAACCTCCTCTCACCCTATTGTGTGGTTTTGTGTTAATGCATGTAGTGCAAGAAGTAATCTATGTAGGTGGAGAGAGAGATTGATTACTGAATCCTGGTTCATTGAGTCTACACCCAACACATGCAACAGTTAATATTACTGTACAACACTATGTGATTTTGAACAAAGCAAGAACTACAGTTTTTGCAGAATAAAGTGGTATCATATTTTATTTCGTCACCTTCTCGTCAGCTGCTTACAGGCCAAAGACATTACTAAATATATATACAAAACAATTTAAACATACCTGCACAGAGTTCATTTGAAACAAAAATCAATCGATCAATATATGCATAGTAATATGTATATATATATATATACATATATAATATTAAACACTATTCCGAACAGTAATAATCACACAGTGGAAACTTTTCAGCATTACGCATCCAGATGAAAATATCCAGTTACCAGGGCAAAGAAAGACTGACAACCACTTCTTTCTGGACGCACAAATCAGGTTTCAGGCGCTTGATGGAAACGGCTTCAGCAAACTTGAGCTCTTTTGCCTACTGATAATTTTGAACGGCTTTTCGACGTCCACCTCATTACCCGTGTCAAGGAGATGCCTGGCGATGGCACTGTTAAAAGCATTTGTTCCCTTTAAACATAAGCTTTTCGATACATGTTCAGAAAATCGTAGATATGCCCTTCTTTATGTTCTTCCAATGTGTGATTTATCAAAATAAAATCTTATCCGTAATGGAATTATCTTCAGGATTATTTAGGACCATGGGAATACGTTTACATACACAAACTAATCATTTTTACAAGTAAAGTAGTATTTTCAGTGGATATTTCGAAGCATAGACAATTAAATTAGTTTGAAATTAATATAATATTTGCCTTCTATGTTAGGGGTTTATACCACATTTTGTAGGGGAATAAATAAATTTAAAACTAGTAGTATTCAGCGTTTATTTAGGTTGTGTGGAACATAAGTGCTGCAGTCACACAATTAAACGACAAACGCTGTTGATATAAGGATAATTTAGATTTGCATCGAAGGGTGGAAAAGATTGAATGTTACGCTTACTAATGATACAGAAGGGTATTGATCGCTAGTACTCATGTTTACTAAAGCCTTTCAAAGTTTGAGGCAGTTCTTGCGCTTAGGCTTAAGTTGTTCCATAAAAAATTAAACAATCTGTACACCGATTTAAATGTTCACATATTTACTTTACTGAAAAGTAAGTAGGTAGTAGTGATCTGTGTGAATACGTGTTTAGGAAGATTTGAATTCCTGATACTACATACTAGTAGCATTATTACACATTCACTTAAGCTCATTATCCTTATAGTACGGTACAACGATGTGGAGCTTCTCTGTAACTTAAGTCTACAATGAGGCACTGAATGATAAAAAAACCCATTAAACTACATCATTCTAGATTTATTATAGATTATAAACAATGGGATGAAATAACTGAGTACGCTAAACTCGATGGATCCAGGAAAACAAATGACGGATAATTTCATGAACATTAAATTCTCTGGAAAAATATCTCCTTGCTGAATAAATGATAAATAATTCACTGGTCATACATACATATGGAGGCTCCCAATGGACAGGTCAATGATATATTATTATTGTTCCCTTGGGTTCCTAGTGGAACATAGGAACCTCGCCTAGATTACTAGCTCATTAGTTTTCAAAGCCAGTCCCAAGCCCGGATAAAGAGGGAGGGTAAGACCTTGAACCCTTTTTGAACTACTCCATCGCCTCCTCAAAAATCAACTATGTAGTAAAAGTACACACACAACTAGTGAATAGATTTAAAGATATTTCATTTATTTTAAAAATACAACGAGGCAAGACAAAAATTAAAGAAGGCAAAGAAGGAGAGAATAGAGAAACAATACATAATCAATTAGTGTCATGAGATAAGTAAGACAACAACAATGAAAAATAAAAGGAAAGGCAGTGACATATATAACTGTTTAAAAGTACCATCTCACAGGATTAGAGTAGAATAAGAATTGCTGGTGATCATCATCATCATCAATTGTGGCTTTCATCCGAGATCGTTTGTGCCCCATGTGTGTGTGTGCACAAAAGTAATATATATATACCATATTCTCTGTTCGCAATAAAATGTGATAAGATAATACAATACATCTCTATGAGGAAATACAGAATTGTAGTGACAGAGGAGAGTGGTTCACATTTTGGGGAATGTATTGAGGAAAATATTTCGCGTCATAAAATACATGAATACCATGAATGAATATATATATATATACCGAAGCAGAAAGAGATAAAAAAAAAACATAGAGGGAGAGAATTTTGATTGAATAAAAGAATCGCACAGCCATTCAAAGAAGAAAATGATCACATTATTAAAAAAAGAACAGAAGGACAGAAAACAAAGTGGCTTCAAAGCCTATTTATAACATAGTTTTATTTTCCTCCTCTTCAATACATAGAATGAGAAGCTAAAAACAAAAGAATTGATATGTATTCTTTTTTGTAACACGAAAAGATAACCAAGCGAAAGAACTTCAGGTAAGTCATACATCATCAAGATGTTTAAGTCAGGTATGAACAAGAAAAAATAATAATTTGACTGTTTACGAATAACATAACCACCTTAGGCATTTATATTTATATATATATATCCTATGAAAAATCCACCAGACACATCAACCTTATCATAACTGTAATATTTGAAAAAGGCACAGGAGTACATCACATAAAGATACTTGTTTCAATGATATCGGAGAAAGAAAAAAAATTAATGCACACTTTCACAAGTTCCAGTAAAACAGACAGATATACTACGAATAGAATTATAGAAGAGTACTAATCAATCCATTACAAGTATGGAATGTAATCACTAACTGTATACATATTTAATAGTATTGTGTATTATGAAGAACTTTCAGTTGTTTTTATACCTCCACCCAAAGGCATGAAGAATGTTCCACAACGGAGTAGGAATATACGCATTAAAGCAGCAACTTGAGGTGATATCCCACCAGCCATTGCAACTAAATCACAAAGACCAGGATATAAGCATGCAGCATGCTTATGAAATCTGGATGAAGGTGACAGTTTATTCAGTTGAGTAATAATTAACACTAAACAGGGATCCCATGCATGCCGATGTCCATCAATTATTAAGCCATGATAGTAGTGAAAAGCTTCCAATATGACATGATCCAGCAATTCATCAGCCTGTGTTAGAAAGGAGAACCGAAATAGGTGAAAATGATTAGCAGGTTGTGCACATGATATTTTAAAATTAGCATTACAAAATAAATGACAAGAATGACGAAGTGCGGTGCTTCTTTTATTGACACTGACATATACTGGTTCTATTTATGAACAATAACACGAATGAATATAAGCTTGAGCATTGAAACAATAACAATCTGAAATATAATAGGTGACTTCATAAAATACGTTGGCTTCATACGATTTATTAGTTCTTTTTAAGGTTAAAAATAATATTTGAATAACAAGAAGTGCATGATGATTCGTCATTAAAGACTTATTTATAATGTCTCTACAAGACTCTATTTTTAGAACACATTCTCATTGCTTATTTTATCTTCGTGAGTTATCCTACAATATGGGTTAAGATACTATGACACACTGTTAAGCCACTTTAACAAATATGATTGTAAGTGAACTAGAATTCAGACATATGCTAAAGTATTTGAACAGACTATCAACATGTCTACACCATTAGCCTTCAAGTGTTATTCTAATCAGAAAAAAATTGGTGTTTTCTCCTTATATTGAGATAATTTTACCATTTGCAGTCTAATATTACTGTGATTTCACTGGTTAACCGGTGTCTATTGAATCAATCTAATATGGACACTCAAGAACAGTACGAAATTTCCAGTGTGGTATAGCTCATCAAATAATCAACATATATTGAATAGCGTGTATGTTCTTTAGTAGTTAGAGATGAGAGAGTCTACAACTAGGTGTACGTACATAAAGGTTACTCATGACTGTCGTGTCAGTCAAGTTACGAGGCGAGTAAATCGACTTTAAATCTATGAAGCTGTTATTGGTCAACTATCGAAGTGAATTTTATACACTTTATAAACAGATAAATAGTTAGAAGGCAATAAAAAAAATATTCTTTCCCATGAATTCCTCTTCCAACTCTGCAATGATGTGTCCCTCATTTACAGAAGAAGCCTACTGTAGGAAACTACGGATAATATATGTACAATGAAATGAAATCACCTTAAAAAAACAGATAACTTCCAAATATTAATGTTAGTTTTCAACACTTCAACACAATACTCATAAACTAAATTTTACGGGAACAAATCACAGAAAGATGTTAATAAAATAATCATTTTGGATTATTTGTTTTTAAATTAATGCACAATTAATTCAAATCCCCTTTGAGGGGTCAGAGCACAGTGGTAGAATGCTTGCTAACCACGCATGTAGCTCGGGATTCGATCCCCTGCCGACTCACTCCTTTACCTCGTTAAGCTAGTAATAAGACTGGTAAATAAGGAAGGTTGAGCATGAGGCTAGCAATCGCCTCCCGTAAAAATAAACACCGCTACTAGTGGAACTTCAAAGCTCTAACTTTAAGCCCTATGTTCCACTGGGAACATGAAGGAACAAAATAAATATTAATAATAATAATAATGATAAAACAAACTTTTCTTTAACAACAAAGATTTAAACAAAATAGACATACCTCTTCTTGAATATTACTTGGTTCTTCAGCCAAACGAAATAGAATACGCAGAGTACAAAGTAGGCTATGCGTTTCTTGCTTTAACAAATTTGGTTTAGCCTTAACCTTAAATCCTGAATGAAATAATAAATATGAAGCAAAAATCCATGTACAGGAAATCATTATCACAGGTCAATAAATTCCAAAGACAAGATTGAATAAGTGGGGTTAACACAGTTAAATTAACCTGTTTACCTAGAACTGATGGTTGACGGGTAGTAAAAGAGTAACATGTACACCAGAAACCAATTGTATGAAACAGTAGCCAAAAAAAGTTTAATATATAACACGGCTTATAAGTCATTTCTATACACGTATGTGCATAAACAACAGAATCACCATCACATTCAGCACATGAAGTGATATATAAGGTTGGCTAGGACGTTTAAAGCAAACCTGTACTTCACACATTTCATAAGTTATTAATGAATGAAGACTTGAATCGACAATACCGTTAACGAAGTAAATATTAGCTCGAGAAACGACTGTGAACTGGTCTGAAGCCTTAGAAACTACAACGAAGTGCCTGTCTAGTGCTCCAACTTTTCCAGCTACGCTTTAACCAGATAAAATGATATAAAGCAAATGGAAAGTTTTATTTCGAAACTTGTGGGTTGATGTCCACAGTTGGTATATCGCTGCTTTTTTTCCTTCATTATGACTGACTAAGTTTCAACATAGAACTCTGTACAGAAGTGCAGCAGTTCAAGTTGCCACACTCCATGTATTACACAAAGGTAGAGGAAATAGAGCTACAGTTCAGAAGAATTATTACGTAAGGGAAAAAGAAATAGAGACGTGGAGAAACATGAGGACCTAATGTATGTAAGAGATCACAAAAAGTGAATACATAAGCGTTACTGAGAACGCTTTTAAGCCACGCCGTCAACGATCTTAAACCATTGGTTCTTAACATCCTTTTATTACACAAAATGGCAACTCTAAAGAATAGGAGCCCAAACCAAAACGACCTACGAACGCACAAATGACCTTGTCAAGGACAATTTCGACCAATCAGAAGATTCAAAAAAACGGCGCATAATTGTAAAAAATCGTTTATATAAAAGTAATGCAATGTTAAAAAATAGTTACAATGGATAACGTTCTCCAACTTGTTGCAAAAAAAGCTCCCAATTTCTCATAGGTGTCTTCATACTGATGTTGAACCAAGTTATATACATAAACTCATCAAGATAACTGTATATCATTTGATTTTTAGATCCATTCACTAATCTAATCCGTTTTTTCAGATGACTCCAGAAACTTCCGATTGAATTAGTATGAGTTTCATCCAAAGGATTGCGAAAACCCTTTGTGTGGTTGACTACATGATGAATATAACCGAGATTCGACAATTGACCGTAACTGCTCCACTTTTCTGTGTGAATATTGGTCCCAGGCAGCACTAAGCGCTGGATAATAGGCAATAATACACCTGCACTGCGATTAGGAATCGCCTGGATATATCCTTTTCGGAGGGTGGTGTCACAGATACCCAATATCCATTGTTGGTTTGCTCGTAATCTGCCGCGATTATATTTCCTTTTTATTAATACGGTCTCATCAATTTGAACGATTACGCCAACTCCTCCAATAACTTGAGTTAGGCTGTTCATTTTCCAGGACGATACGTCTCTGCAGTATTGCTACCACTGCACTGCAGACACTTCTGAATTTTCCGTTTCATAAGCCGTTGCTGTAACTGGTCTATTCAGTATCCAGAAATTACAGATCATTAAAATTTTTGTTAAGGGTAATTTAGACTTAGAGAATAAAGTGCCTAAGGAATCTGTTAACTAAAAAAGAACGACATACCCTCTCGAACTGATTTTCTCCTCCGGCACTCATTACACCTGTATACAAACCCATCAATGAACTTTGTGTATTTTTGTATACGCATATCACCTCCGCACTGACAAATTTTCGACCTTGCAATCAGTCCATTATCCAAACGGTAATTAAAAACAAGATCCGGAGCGAATTTGCAACGCAAAAGGTGTAGAGCATCCATAATTACTTCTAGAAACAACACAGTCAGCTGATTGGTTTCTCAAGGTCGTTTGTGCGTTCGTGGGTCGTTTCGGTTTGGGCTCCTATTCTTTAGAGTTGCCCATAAAATTATAAACTGATGAATACTTATTTCCTTATTTGTTTGCATAATTAAAAACTATTATCCTGAACAAAGCAAGAACAACAATTGTACCAGGATAATATGAGCTCATCTGAATATTTTCCCCTTTTTCCACACTTATCACTTACTGGTTGAATGCCACCTGCTTCTCATATTCTACGAGTTATTTAACCCTATTAGTCAAAATTCACTCTTGTATTCCTGCCCATTTATGTAGCCAATTGTTCCTGCTTCATTTATGGACTTACGTGTGAATGCATTTCCATTATTTGATCAATTTGTTTGTGAAAAGAATGAGTACATGTTTCAATGAATTTTCAGTTTTATTCACTTCCCTTAATTAGCAATTGACCCATGCTGGGATTCCCTATTTCACAAGCAATACACTAAGTGCAAAAATAAGCAGTTGCTTGAGAATTAGACAAATAAATTCATCTACTGCATAATGGTTTATAAAAACTACTTGTGTGACTGAACTCCCAAATATAAGACAAGATCCCGGAGAATGATCAACTGAGAATGAGAACTGACTGACAAGACTTATGAGCCACTCTTTTGAAGCGTTAAAGTTCTACACTTTACATTCTACAATTGATATATATATATATAAAAGCATGATTTTCTATAATAGTATTGTTGTATTGAACTTTTGTAGCCTGCTGCACCGGGACCAGCTTAACCACATTTACACTCCCACTTCTAATTACGAAAGTGGACTTACACATGACTGTGTTCCCAAAGTGCAGATTTGTACATCAAAAGTATGGTCATTTCACCTAAATTAACTATTTCTGGCTATTTTAGTACAAATGATCCTGTTAACAGAGAAAATATCTGTAACTGTTCGATCATTTAGCAAAATGAAATAACTTTGAATATTCCTCTTAAACATTATCGGCAAAATATAATAATATTTAGAAAAACAAAAACCATGGAAGAAAAACTAACCAGCCTGAAATAGAATATTTCTCTGTTCGTCATGTGAATTGAATTGTTTAGCGAATGCATGGGATTCCAGTAAACATTTTGCCAAGATGAGACGCTGTTGTGGGGAGAGATGTGGATACATACCACGAGAATCAAATGGTAATGGACTAGCTCCAACTAGCGGAGTTGTATTACTCTGTTCTGCTTCATAACTGCATTGATCGGTGACTTCATTTTCCGCTATGTTGAGAGGATTTTCCGAGGAGCTTGTAATATCTACGGAAGGAAAGATGATTCAATCGTGTAGTATATATATACATATACATGAGAGAAAAAGCTTCCATTGGAACGATAGATAAACATAACAGTTCCAATGCCTTTGGTTTTATTTGTGATTTTACTGACTAAAGTTATCCCTAGTCAAGAAATAAAACGGCGAGTAAACTTAAAAATTCACTACCGTCTAAAGAAGAAATCTTTATTTCTTTTGCAATATGACAGTCAACTAATAATCACCTCATGGATATCATCAGTCTGAGTAACCTACGAGGATTACCAAAAACCACTATCACTTGGGTGAATGCGAGTTGAAACCCAACAAAGTTAGTATTTTATCGTTCATATCTCGAGTAAGTTTAATGTAATTTGTAGAGTATATTCAATGATTGCCAGATAGTAACTAATCTGTGTATGATGCTAAATGTTATTTGATGTATAGAAAGTGATTACTAGGCTAAAAGAATGACAATGTGACACACTCCTATTTCACATTAGATATCAGGATTTGATCGACAGTAAGCTCTAAGTGAAGGACTTGTGCTTGTCAATACTTAATATTAAGGGGTAACCGCGACCTCAAAGATATTCATGTTCTCACTAGGATCTACACCAATATCAGTTAATGGGGATTTCCAAAATTCCATCACTAATCTCTAACTTCTTCCTTTTGAAACAGGTAACGCTTTAGACTTTTTTTTCCAACTGTACTAATCACTACTATAACAAATCGATGCTTTCGAGAGATAAGAAGTTATCACTAAAAAAAAATGCCGCTGAAGAAGTAAACTAGTTGACTGGTACTGCACAAATACAATACAACACCATCATCTCTTTTACAACAAAATTGGAAAAAATTAAAAATAGACAGAAAGTTTAAGGGAAATTTATGCAATAACAATAAGTACTTACTCATATCGTCTTTATTCAAGCTCTTATTTGAACCAGAGTCATGATTTATAATATCAACTGATATTTTACTGCCAGTTGTATTGTTATCTTTGGTAAGAAATGATGATGTTGAAAACAATGATGGTTGATTTGTTGTCGATGTAGCTACTTGTAAAGCAGCTTCAAATGCTGGATAAGATGCAGCGGCTAATCGACGTGCCTCATGCAAGTAATGAATATCTTCATTTCTACTATGCGCTGAATAAAATAAAATATGATCCACTGTTTGTATTAATTCATATTGTACTACACATTTATTTAATAAGTCGGCAAATAAGTGTGCTCTAGCAATATGTCCAGGCAGACGTTGTTGATTTCCATTCATGTATGAGGTTATACTTTGATCATTAATTTCAAGTGGCATTTGTTCCTGTTCAAAGTACAAAACAAAAAAATATAGAGAGAGAAGTGTTGTTATAATGATTATCCATTGATATAGCTTTCAAAAGTAACGGGTGTTTGATTAGCCAGAAACTTTCACTGTGTCGAAAGCAACTGAAAAATTTTTGGAAAGCAAGCGGTAATGGACACTAGTACTGTTTTATTTATTTATTTATTTAGGCAGTAGGATGAACAACAACTTATGAACAGCAGGCTACTATTCAAACATTGCATGGATTACTTGCTACAATTTAACAGCATGTGATACGGAGCAACTGTTCTTAGGTATCATCATAATAGAAACCATAGTTGAAATCTTAGGCCAAGTTAAAGTATAACGGTCCAGGAGTGCAAACGTTTTAATGACCTCCAACGTATATGCTAGTCGTTGGATAACGGAACTTACCGTTATAATCGTGCTAATGTGAACACCATTGACGAATCAAGGTGTAAACTTCACCCCCATCAAGTTTTAAGTACTGTTTGGACAATGTGTTGATAGCTCGTTAGGGTTAGGATCAAGGTTAGGATAAGGGTTGTAATAAGGTTTGAGGCTAGGATTACGATTAGAGTTAGGTTTGGGGGTTGGTATTATTTATTTTAATTGGTTTTAGTATCCACATTTTCTTAGTAAGTATCCATCGATCCTCTTATTGAAAACCATAGTAATTTAATCGACGATTTTTGGAGAAGACTGCAAAACAGGATAAGAGCGACAAAGGGGTCACAAAAAAAGCTCATCATTAGTCACCTCGTTGAATATTTTTGTACAGAAGCTTGTCTACCTTAAAAGCTAATACTCATTATATTTGGGAGCTATTTTGAAATCATGTCAGAGAAAAATACCCTGTTTAATGTCTTTTATCGTTATGTTCTATATTTCTTTCGTAAATAAACGTCATTTTTAGGCAGAAATTTCTGTATTTCCTGATTGGTCAGCTTAGAATTACTGGTGCGCTCGTATCCTGATATTTTAACTTTGCCGAGTTTTAACAGTGGGAAGGGGGGTGTGGTTGAAGTGTGTACATCAGAAGTGACTTAAATTAAGAAGGCAACAATTATCTATTTTATTTATCTAGCTTGGTTTACTACGTTTCAAAAACTATTGGGAAATAAATCCGCTTCCTTTAAAATACTCATGAATAACTTACACTTTATGTTAGAAACTTCTTACATACAACTGACTTGAAGGTAATGTCATCAATCAAACTGCCTGTTGATTAAACGCTCTTTTTAGAAGCATAACTTAATACTTTACACGCATGTTACTGAATATATTCGAAAGTAGGTACATTCAATTCGAGGCATCAATATATGTATTCCCTCTATGTTACCAATAGTATGCTGGATAATTTCTCAGCCTTATATGTATACTTACTACTTTTATATATCTACCTTATTTATTATAGTACATGTGCAGTTTAATTAAGTTTAAATGAAATTAAGAGATTAATTTCTGGTAATTTCCTTTCCACTCTATGGTACATTATATGGTAGGTTTAACAGGTGCATAAAATATTTCATGTTGTTCCATTCGTTCATTTATTTCATTTAGTCAATTTCAACTAACGACAGTCAATTTTTAATCATTATAAGGCATGAAAACTAAGTCGTACATTAATGACATTAATCAGTGCATATCGTTAAAGTCCCAACCGCTAGTAATGAAGATTAGTTTATACTGTATGCACAAAAATGTCCATCTAATTTCAGATAGTCACAGCTAAACGAATAATGCACCAAAATACTGATGCACACATTACTTCATAATTGTCTATTCAAATTCGTCACATCAAGTGTTCAATGTAGCCAATAATTTAGAAGACAACACTATGAAATAGTGCAATTAGCTTTGGATATTAGAATTTTTCTACATGCGGAAAATATCGAAACAAGCGTCTAAATGTGAATTAAAGTGAAATCATAGGGAAGACGAAAGACTTGGTAAAGGAATGTTTATTTGGAAATTTGTATCTCTATATAGCCAAATTATGTATATGTATGTATGTATGTATCTTCAACGCACTATTTTCACAAATCTTGGTGTTGTGGTACTTCTGGTCTTCCTTAACATATTGTGTTCTCTCATGTATCTCCCTGCTATTTGATGATGTTTTTGGCTCAGACCACTATCTTGTACAAGGGACAATCCAAATCAAATTAAAGGCTTTGAGAGAAGCTGAAGCTGCAGATAGATCACAAGCCAAGTTCAACACTCAAAAACTGAAGGACCAGGACACAAAGGACATCTTCACTTCAAGCATAAAGGACAAAGCCGAGACACAAATCAACACTGGCGAAGAGGTCAGCGTTGAAAAGCACTGGAACAACTTGAAAACAGTTTGAAGTCAAACCTGCATGTAAGTTCTAGGCAGAAAGAAGAATCAGGACAAACAGTGGCTCACTACGGACATTTGGAGACTAAGAGAAGAGAGAAGGATGGTGAAACAAAAGATTATCCAGTGCACCGACGAGCAACAAAAACAGGATTCGAATGCAAACTACAAGACACTGAACAAAAGAGTAAAGAAGAGTGCCAGAGAAGACAAAAGAAAGTATTATGAAACCATGGCAAGGGAAGCAGAACAAGCTGCAGGCAAAGTAGACCTCGCAACACTCTACCAAACAACTAGGTACCTATCGGGCAAACGTTTGACACAAATCAAGCCGGTGAAAGATGACAATGGCAAGTCACTCACCAAAGAAGTGGAGCAAAGGAAACACTGGGCTGAACACTTCAAAAGACTTCTTGATCGACCACCACCGACAACGCGCTCAACAATACCAACAACGGAGACAGAGCTACCAGTGAACACCAACCCCCCGACGAAATCAGAAGTCCTGAAGGCAATCAAGATGCTATAAGCTGGAAAAGCAGCAGGACCAGATGGAATCCCAGCAGAAGCGTTTAAAATGGACCCAGAGACAACAGCGGACTTGGTGACGCCACTACTGGAGAAGGTGTGGAAAGAAGGCAAAGTACCTGAAGATTGGAAGAAAGGATACTTATTCAAACTACCAAAGAAAGGAGACTTAAGTCAATGCAAGAACTGGCGCGGAATTATGCTCCTGTCTATCCCAGGCAAAATACTAAGCCGCATCATCCTGGAGAGAATCAAACATGCCAACCTGGATGAAAAACTTCGACCGGAACAGGCTGGATTCAGGAGGAACAAGTCATGCATTGATCAGATCACCACATGACGGATCGTCATTGAACAAAGCTTGAAGTGGCAGTCACCTCTCTATCTCAACTTCATCGACTTTGTAAAGGCCTTCGATAGCGCAGCGTCGATCGAGAGGTGCTTTAGCAACTACTTCGCTACTACGGGGTGCCACCGACAATTATATATCTCATCCAACAGCTGTACGACAATGTTGCATTCCAAGTAATCCACAACGGGAAACTTACAGAATCCTTCGAAGTGAGGACAAGAGTAAGACAAGGCTGCCTACTATCGCCAATGATTTTCCTGATTGCAGTAGACTGGATAATGCGACAAACAGCGGACAATGAGGAAACAGGCATAAAATGGACTCACACAAAATACTTGGAGGATCTGGGCTTCGCCGATTATATATGTCTGATTTCCCACAAACTGGACGATATGCAAGCGAAAAGCAACAAGTTGGCAGAAGAAGCATCCAGAGAAGATAGGACTTCACGTGAACATAGAGAAAACAGAGGTGATGAAAATTCTTGGGCAACACCACCAACAGCAACAAAAACAACGGACAACAATCAGCATAAATGGGAGGAACCTGAAAGAAACAACCTCTTTTACCTACCTAGGAAGCATCGTTTCAACTACAGGCCAGCGGAACTGACGAAGATATCAAAGCAAGAATCGCAAAAGCAAGACAAGCTTTCACTACTCTTAAGTCTTTGTGGAGGTCAACAACACTCAGCATCAAAAATAAGATCCGGATTTTCAACTCCAATGTTGAGTCAGTCAGTGCTGCTATACGGATCAGAGACTTGCACTGTGCGTCATAAAGAGCATCTCAAACAAACTACAGACCTTCATTAACAGTTGTCTTCGATCAATACTCAAGATCAGATGACCGGCCAGAAAAGATCAGCAACAGGGATCTTTGGGAGCGAACCAACCAGGAACCGATTGTGAAACAAATATGCAGAAGGAAATGGAGATGGATTGGCTGGCCATACTCTGAGGAAACTATCAAGTGACATCATTAGACGAGCCCTTGAGTGGAACCCGAAAGGGAAGCGGCGAGTTGGTCGTCAGCGTTAGGGTGACTTGGAGGAGGTCATGTGAAGAGGAGATGAAAGCATGTGGGCAGAAAAGGAGCCAGGTGAAAACGTTGACAGAGAACCGAATGCAGTGGAGACGCACGGCTGAAGCCCTATGTTCCTCTAGGAATTAAAGGATACAATAATAATAATAATTTGATGATGTTTTATGCCGATGTACGTCTCTTTATATATACTGCTGATAAATCTTATCAGTGGCACCCGCCACAATGGTAGCATATTAAAAAATATCATTAAAGTTTTTAAATGAACTGGCATCTGAATATCAATAATTCAACCAACACACATACCGGGCGCCATGTTAATAACTGATGCGGTACAGTAGATTTGAAAAGATCCACAATTAGATTTACTGTTGACTCCCAAATTTTATCGCTGAATCTTTTACCGTTAGATAGAATCAGCGTTTCCAAACAGCTAGTCCCAGAGCGAGCCAATTGTTCATGTTCTTGTAAGCAACACCAACGTAATTGCTGGTATATATCATCTAGTGTTTAAAGTAAGAAATAATAAAAGGATATACAATATGCAGTAAAAAAAGAAGATGAGGATCAAAAATGTAGTTCGCTGTATGGGGCTTGAGAGTCATCCAGATGTTGTGTAGAGTATAACTCAGTCCATTTATTGATCGTTAAATTTACAAGTGTCTGAAATCAAATCCTTCAATAAATATATGGGAATTTACATCGGTAATAATAGTCGTTATGACTATAACCACTTTGTAATGGGAACAATAGCTCACACAACTGACTGCACAGTGCAAGTTTATTGGGAACCTAAGCCAACTGATGAACTTAATGGTTTCTTTAGAGGTAATCAATGCCAGAGAGTGAGTTAGCGAAACCACGAATGTTTTTATGTACAAAGATATGACTGCTTGAATAATATAATAATGATAATAACGGTAATAATAGACTACTCTGATTCAAGTGAGAAATCGAAGATTAGCTCTACAGGAAAAGACGATAATTTACAGAAATAAACTGTGCTTTATTAGTACAACCGACTAATCCTAAATTTACAATACGAAAAGTTTTGCTAATGTTGGTAACGAATGATCAGTCAACGTATTTTACGCATTAGCATTAGCATTGGCGTAGTGAAGTATATCAAAATTGGTGTAGATAAATATTTTGATATCAGTTTTGTTAAACTCTTAAGGTGAAGATGAACACACACACACACACATACATACATACACACTCTTATCACGCACATGAAGTCAAGAATAAACAGTCAAAATCACAAAACAAGTGTCGGAACTGCCCGAATGACTCCAAAGAAATCATCAAAAACGCCACCAACTGTACACTTCACAAAGCAACAGTTAGTAGTAATGATACTGGTGATTATTAACGTAAGAAAGAACAGCGAATCACTCTATAACCTAATCGACAGTGAATATTGACCTATAGGAAGCAGTAATTTAAAGAAATAAAACTTATTTGAAAACAAAGCAGTATAGTGGAGACAGTAGACACAAATAATGTTTAATCGAAGTGGTTGAACAGATTTCATACCTAACAATATATCATGCAACACGTCATAGTACTGAGTGAATATATCCACAACAGAAAATAATGTATGATTGCAAGTTGTATTCATCCATTCAGTACGTTCCATATTTGACAGAGTCTGATGATGCATGCCGTTAATAGTCGATTGACTATCAGATGCAGAGGCTAATGACAACGCAGGTAGGTGATTAGCAGTATTATCTGATTCCGCGTTAACTGTAGCATTGTTAAATTCTGATGATACTGAAGGGATACGGAAATGCTGAAAAACTCGAAAGATAACAGAAAATGTTTCACGCCACCATAACGGTTTAAACTGATTCCCATGTGACTTTAATATATCGAAAAATACAGTAAGACCACGTGTACGTACATCCAGTTTACAACTAGGAAAAGTAGAAGAGTAAAAGAAAAAAAAGAAAAAACATATTGTTAACCCAGGGAAAAAATGGACGAAGAAATGTCAAGTATTATATATTTTAATGGCTATACTGTTAAAGGTGAAGTGATTCTATTAGATGGGTGTCAATAAGCCACAGTATAATATGTAAAACATGTAAAAGTAATGGAATGAAAATGTCAAACATGAATAATATTTGGATTTCAAACCTAACACAAAAGTACGCTGCTTCCATTTACTAAGTTAATTGAAAGCAATACAAAAAAGAAAGAAGCCAGGAGGAAATATGTGGATTAGAAAGTAGGCATTTACAATTCAATACATAACTCAGATAATAACAGCTTTCTCAAATAATGCTATTAATACATTAATGTAATTACTACGATACTACTACAATTAAGGATAAGAAGGAACAAGGCGAAAGATTCTTATTAGTGTAGCTGCGAGCTACATTATCCGTAAAACAATATCCTGTCGACGGTATACTGCATTTTTAGACGGATTATAACTAATATTCATATCCCCACCAAGCTTTGTTAACGAGGAAATCATGAACTGAATTGAACTTTCAACCAACCAAGAACTTAGCACAGAAAGGTAGCGGCTCAAGTTATCAGATTCCATAAGAGCACACAAAAGTAGTGAAAGAGAATGCATAAAAACTACAAGAAACGGACATATACGCCAGAAAGAATAGTTGTATGGAGATTAATGAGGATTCAATGAATATTCAAGATTGTAAGAGGTGAATGAGGACGACTGTGAAGCACGTCACCAACATTCTTACGCTAATGGTTCTGTTCTTAGTGTCTCGAAGACCACAGTCAACCAGACAGTATACAACAACTTTCTATGTAGCTCAAACCAACAACTAAAGCTAACACAAATTGATGCCAGGTTTTGGTTCGACCACCCCTAACTCTTTTGCAATATAATCTTATGTCAGCTAAAACTTTTGGACGAAGAATGTAGACGAAGTTGTTCTGTGATACGATTGTTGTGAATATACTGTGTAAATATAAATAGGTAATTAAATGTATATGAAAGATCCTCCTACCCATTTATTACACGAAACAACTCGCATAGTACAGGCATCCAACCACGTAACCAAATTTGATCATCTTCTGGCAACGAATAGGCATGAATGACATGGTTTGATTCACAACTAGGAGACTCAGCTGGGTTACTTGCAACTATTTCTGAGTTTTGTAAACCAGTAAACACTGATCCTTGTTCTGCTACCGTTCGTGCGCAAATACGAATCAAGCGAATACTTTCCATAGCTGTATCGGGAAAACGTGGATTGCACGAGAATTCAGCAAGTGCCTTTACTAAAGGCTATGAAACAAAAAAAACGAACAGACAAATAACGGAAAAGGCGAAAATTATTAACTGCAGTATTGATTCAAAAATTCAAATTCAAGACAGCATAGCAGAGTCAACTTCGGTAATTCGATATTCAGGAGAATGTTTTACTCAGATTATTTAAATAATGTGCAAGAAGACAGTTAAATGAAACGGTCACGTTTTTTTTATCAAATATCATGAAATAATTCACAATGCATCATATTCTACAGTCAATACAATTAGCTACCACCCTTATTTATTAAAGCTAAACACAAACGACTAGTCTAAAGGCACCTAGTGAAGTATTTTCTAAAGATTCATTCAAACAGACAGACAAGAAAGAATACTTGCTTATGGAAGTAAATGAATTAATACACATACAACTTAAAAGCAATTTCTACAACAAGCTAGACCCTGATTAGTGACCATGAATGAGAATACAAAAATAATCTCTAGGCAGTTTGAATTTGTCCACGGCTAAGTATATCTTTTGAAATCAACGGGTATTTATACGGTGCTTCATGAAATAGATGTTCAAGTTACGGGCACCAGTAAAATAGAAAAGATGTATATTCGATGAGTACAAATAGGACATCAGCCGAGGAGCTTCGTATTACTATAGCCATTTGTTGAAGTACTAACAAGAAACAACATCATACAGTAATGAACATATTCTTAAAAAAAAAAAAAGACGAATACTTACCTGGAAAGCATCCACAACAATATGTAAGTGTTCTTTAAAAACGTCTTTTACAGTAAAATGACAAGTTTCAAATGCCATATCAACAATTCCTTCATCTAAAGATGAAGCTACTGAATGAAAGACAGCAAATATATTAGTCCATCCAGATCGTATATTCGCATATTGTGAATGCACTAGCTGATAAACACAACGAACAACCATATCTTGAACTTTATGACTGACATTTGGTTCGCCTTCCAGAATATTCACAAAAGGACTGAAAGAATACACGATACACGTGAATATAAAGAGGATAATAATAAGCGAAGTCAAGAGAATAAATATATATATATGGAAGTTAATAGAATGTGCAATTTAGTGATTACAGAAATATAACAACACAGCGTGTATTTTAAAACTGATGTGATTGTGCAATTAAAAAATTAATCAATTCACCCATGGTGTTTAGGTTTCTAAAAACGGCCTAGCTTACATAGCCAAACTGGTGACACATAACTTGCACAACTTTTAGTTGACGGTGGGAATAAAGAAACTGAGCGCCATTCATGTATGAGATTTCACTGATTGCTTATTCCTATCGAAAAACTGTGACCTGTTTGACACAGAATAGTGTTAGCGTTATAAGCACCATCGTTTGATATGAATGGTTTTTTACTGCTGCTCTTTAAATATACATATCATGCAAAATATAAACCATTAAGAAATCAATTTACTTACCGTAGGAATTCTTTCTGAAAATGGAAATTTGGCAATTCACCTTTTTCGATTAATTTTACAGATAACTGTCGTAAGGAATCAATTACAAATTCAGCAACATCCTCGTCGACTGATCGACCAGCTGTAGTGAAATGACTACCGATATGTTCCCATATACGTGACCACTGTAATCGAATACGACCCATATTGTAATAAGAAATTTCGACAACTTTCTGCAGAGAAAATGTTCTTGGTTGAGGAAGATTTAATTCTTCTTGACTGACCTACATTTATAAACAAAAGGGACAGTAAAAAACTTAAAGAGTGAAAAATGTAAATATTGTAGAAATCATGTCTATTCGTTGTAAATGTTCAAAAGATGAAAAAGCGAAGCCAATAAAAACAATCAGATTTGAGATATCTTGGGTCAGTAGATATTAGAAAAAAGAAAAACGAACTAACCAGAAGAATGCAAATGGAATAAGACTACAGTTATAAAATGGTCAATGTGTGAAATTGCTGAGATAATATAATAGTAAAAGCAATCAGAAACTCCTTGATATCACCTCAAATATAAGAGAATCAAAAATATTTCAGAGTTCTGATGATAAGAGGAAACACGACGATAAAGCTAGAAAGGGATATAAAGCTGAAGGAGTAGAATTGCATCCATGGATAGTCAAAGAAACAACACACTCGAATGTAATCTCATTGAATGCAATGCAAAGCTAAGTTTGGATTGGTCATATAACTAAGGATATGCATAGAAGGAAACATGGGAACTTTATGTAGGTAGTGTAACACAATAAAATCTTCATTAGCTCCTGTATATGCCAGTTCAGAACTTCCAGTGAATTAAACTCTACTCTCTGCGAACTATACACATGTAGAAGAATAGGGAAAAACGCATTTAATCGCATCTCCTGTGATACTTTTCCCCTAGAAATATCTAAATCAACACAAACATGATGATAATTTCGAATTAGATAAAGTTTATGTAAGGTTTGAGTCGGACATTCAAACACTGCTTAAAGATGAGCACAGATGATCTGGATAAGGCAGTCTACTTCTACTAAACATAGACATTCAAAGAAAATTGCTTCCGGTGTTGCAAATGAACTGCAGACTACGGTTTATTTTCAGATATCACCAGCTTGTGTTTTGGATTATTGTAAGCAAAACTCGTTTCTAATTCTAATTCATACAGATTGTCGTGTACAGATTATTCCTGTCGCTGACTCTCACTTTTAATTCGAAGGAAGTTTGAATTTAATTGGTATGAAGCTGAGTAAGTATTTACATCTGACTGACTGACGCATCAACGTAGAGCTTTGTGCAGATGTAACAAAGCAGTTCCACTTAATACAAACAATGACGTTTGCGTATCTGAACACACAGCATATCCTCTACGATCAATAAACACATTTCATTCATATATTAGATCACTGACCTAGTGAATAACGCTTTGGAGTTTGAAAAAGTGTATGCTGCGTTCCCAACGTAGTGGGAGAACTATCACTCCCCGGGGGTGGGAAGTCTCAAAAAGGATGGAACACACTTGCTGGATCCCACCGCTGGCTATCATCGACCAAATGAAAATGCAGACATATAAGTGACAAGTTGGGCATAGAAGGATGGCAAGAGAATCATCTGAAGGGGGATAGGTTGAAAGCGATGGGAGGCAACCGAGTGCAGTGGAGATGTACTATAGAAGCCTTATATCTCACTTAGAAGGTGAGGAATATACATATCTCATCTGTGTCACAAATGATGCAATTTGGCAAATATTAAGCAAGCCTTCTTTATCTGTTCCCATTCATTGATCCATCAGGATTGATGAGATTTCGAGGGGAAGTGAAACAGTCAGATGCAGATGGGCGACAATTTACATTGGGAGGTGAGAAACGAGTTTCAAATATTTTTTTATATTTTGATTATAGCTTCACACCACACAGTATTGTTGGTACAAGTATGGAATTTTCAGCATGTGATATCGGTAGCCCAAATTTTGCAGGCCGACCATTGATATCAGGTGTGCGTCGGCAGGGGATCGAACCCCGGACCATGTGCATGGTCGGCGAGAATCCTTGCCACTGTGCCACCGACGCATATTACTTATATTACTAGTTGAGGTATTCAGAGATAGATGGAAATGTTTTTTTTGAGTAAATGTTAGTCAAAAGTGCTTATCCGAGTTTCATACTGGTATTTCATCGACCCTTAATAACACGACATCTGTCACTGACTTAAATCAAACATATGCCAGGATTTAAATCTAGACCATTTCTATCTACGTTGTCGAGAGTTTGATGTCAAATAGATATTTAAACAGAATATGTACGAAATCTGACGATTGTGTGTACTGTAAGCTGTATCACACTTTTATGGACGGTGAAATGAATTCAATAAAAAAAAAAACTAAAATAATAATCAAACAGTTGAGATTGACCTGCTTACATAACTGTATTAGGCAATCCAATATAAAATACATACACAAACCCATGAATGCGTAACAATGTGAAAATGATTTAAGGGTTACCTGACATAAAGCTTTTACAAATTCCACAATTGCATCACCATCCAGACGGATGGATCCAGTGAATATTTTGTCTACCGCTACAACAACACTTTGTGACCCAGTTTCACCCATCACTTCCTGTAGAACAGCAGCCTTTTTAGAATCTACAACAGCTGCAGCTAAACTCCCAGGTGCTACAGGCTCATTTATATTTGATGTCATAATGTGGTTTGAAGTAATTGATGCAGTCGATGATGCTATGTTGTTCGCCTTCGTAGAACCGCCTTCTGACATCAGTGAACTACCACCACCAATCGTTCCATTCGTATTTTGACTGTAAGAATTGGTGTATGAGTCTGGAAAAGTATTATAAAACAAATGCAAACAGATTTATAAAAAAAAATACCATTTATTGAAATGGAAATCAATCAGTAGTGCAAAAAGTAACATTCTTGCATCACTAAAATGAAATTCTATAACAATATTCGAAAGTTTTTTCATTGATTCCAAACTAAAAAAGACTTGAAACACTATTTTCAATGTAAAATCCTATCGGATTTACATAAAATTTGTATGCTGAATATCATGTTGAAAAAGAATGCAATATAAATATATATATATATATATCACAAAGTTTCAAATAGCACATGCTTCCAAATGAAGACACTAGAGCATTAGAAGACATCGAAACACACTGAGAAGATAAACACCGTTAGAACTTGATGCGTTTATTTAATGTAAACCTGGAGACGAGTTAGAGTTAACTGGAAATAAATAGTTTCGACATAATCTTGGAATGTCTTCAATACATATACATGTCTGTCTGTTTTCAACATAGAACTTTACACCAATGTGCAGCAGTTCAAGTCGCAACACTCCATGCAGCGCACAAAGCAAGAGAAGAAAGTAGGAGAAATGCATAGTATAGACAGTAAACAGAGGTGTGAGACAAAGGAATAGTAGTAACGAAGAACAATATAGTTTCATTGGAAATCATAAGTCACAAGGAGTGGATGCATCTGCGCCATTGAGAACGATTTCCAACCATGTCACCAATTGTCTCCAGCCATTGGTTTTTACTGTCCCGAGGACTCCAACCTTCCTACGTGGCTTAAACTAACTGTTGTGGATCTCATTGACTAGTGCCCTGTTTTGGTTTGACCACTACAGGCACTTTTCCAGCCTGACCCTATGTCAGCTAACATTGCCCGTCGAGGAAGGCGATGGCTAGACATGCGTAACACGTCTCCTAACCATCTCAGTCGATGTGGCTTCACAGCCTCATCGACTGATTTCCCCTCCTTACCTAGCATTCAGCGCCTAAACTCACTATTGATTACCCTACTATACCACTTCACACGGCAGATAGAACGCAGGCACCTATGATCAAAGACAGCTAGTCTTTTCATGTCTTCCACTCTCAATGGCCAGATCTCTCTCACAGCCATAAAGGAGGGCGGAGCAGACTGTTGAGCAGTATACCTACCCATTGGTCGATAGTCGGATATCACGTCTACGCCAGAGATGGCGTAAACTAGCACATGCGAAACTAGCCCTCTGTATCCGTGATGAGATTTCGTCAGAGATCAAGCCGTTGGGGCTGATGGTACTTCCCAAAAAAGTGAAGCAGTCACCGTGCTCTACTACTTCACTCTCTATTTCTAAGCTAGGAGTCAGTGTACTCCAGACTAGTCCTGTAGCATCAACTTACATTTGACAGCACGAGCGAATGGCATGCCAAACATTCGAAGATTGCATCTCAAGGTGTTCAGAAGACTCTACATTTTGTCAGCGTCCTCGCCTAGAAGGACTATATCGTCTGCATATTCTAAGTCAACGAGATTATTCCCTGGTAACAACTCAATCTCTGAGTCTCTGAAGTCATTTAGGGTTAAGTCCATTAGTACATCCATTATGAAATTGAATAGAAATGGGGATAATGGGCATCCCTGGAGCACACCACCAGCAGTCACCACTTCAGATGACAACTCGCCGTAAGCCCTCACCTGGCTGCGTGAGTTCGAGTAGAGTGCCTTGATCAGTGCAATGCATTTTCTCGTCATTCCCTTCACAACCAAACACTACTATAGTACATCTCGGTTGACAGAATCGAATGTCGCCTTCAGGCGAAGAAATATGGCAATTGTTAGAGGCCGCCAAGTATGCAACCTGTGTTCCAGAATCTGTTGAAGAGTGAAGGTATGATCAATACACCCTTTTTCTTGGTCTAAAGCCTGACTGGTTCTCTCGTGTTTGTTTCTCTCGAGAACACTAAGTCTATGCATGATTATTGAGCCTAGAACTTAATATACCATATTAGTCAAGCTAATCCCCCCTGTGATCATCACAGGAAGACCCATCTCCCTTCTCGTATATGGGGATAATCAATGAATTACACCAGCGTAACGGGACTTCCTCTGATTTCCAGACGTTGCCTAATATCTTAGTTAACGCAGGTGGTATGTTGTCTCCATCGTCCTTAAACACCTTTGGAGTCATTCCATCAGGTCCCTCTGCTTTGCCTTATTTCGAACTAGAGACAGCTTTTGTAACCTCAGTTAGGGTTAGGGACGGAGGACATGTGTTTATATCTCATTCAAGCAGGTGTTGCATGATCGGTAAGTTGCGGGTGGCTCTAAATTGCTCCTCAAAGTGTTCTTTCCACCGTCCCAGTCGTCTATCTTGGGAGCTAATTATGGTACTATTTTTCTCAGAGATTGCTTCATTTATCATTTGCCTTTTATCACCTGTTTCTCTGATAAGCCGATGCCTTTTCCATCTCTTTCGCTTTTGTCACCTACCACTGTTCACGGTCGTTACGAAGGCTTCTTGTTAGTTTGCGTTTGAGTAGCTTTCGCTTCTCATCATAATCTGAGCCGGAATCAGTCTTCTTGAGTCAATCAGTTCGGATGAGGTGGTAGAAATCCAACGGCTCTTACTAACTTTTAGTTTTAGGTTATTAGTAGCTTTTACAGCTGTGTCTATAGCTAACTGTATGTTGTGCTAGGCTACTTCAGGAGGAGTACTGCTGTGGACATAGGATACTCGTTTCGCTACTTCTTCCTTAAATAGGGACTCAGTGTCTCGATCTACTTGGGGACGTAACTGTCTCGTTGCCAACAATTTCTTACATCCGTTTAGTCGTAAGCATAAACGTGCGCGAGCCAAAGTGTGATCGAATTCTACGCACGTGTTCCAAAAGGAGCGGCAGTCTTCTACTGACTCTCGCCAACCATACCCTATCGATATGTGGTCTATCTGAGTCCAGCGCTGATTTGGTGATGGAGGTCGCCAGGTGACGCAGTGTCTCTATTTGTGCCTAAAGTTCGTACTGGCTAGGAACAGATGATTATCTGAACAGAACTGTAGAAGACGATCACTGTTGTCGGTCCGTCGGCAGGGAATTCCCTACGTACCATCTGCAAACTTCACAGTCTAGCACAACTTCCCTACTTAGGCATTGAAGTCGCCTGCTAAAACAACTACATCTGAACGTCTTGCTTTTTGCAGCAAATTAGACAGTTTCAGGTAGAAATCATCCTTTTTTTCATCCGAACTGCAGTCTGTTGGGGTGTAAGTGAAAACTACGAAAAGACAACGACGGGTAACGCGGTTCTTCCTTCTTCTAACGGACTCGTTCAGACGGATTATACAAAGTGGCAGAGAGTACCGTAATACATTCAGTAGCGTTCGATCTTGTCACCTATATATTGGAAGCTAAAACCAGTGACATACAAGAATACAAACAGATTTCAGACGCAACTGCTGCATTAGTTACAAATTACTGTTTTTCAACAGTGCACTAAACTACTTAATAATGTAACTCAATAATCAAATATGAACACTAAATGGAAAGATTTCTGTAAGCAATCAAACAATCAATGGAAGTAGGAAAAATATGTATCCTGTCATCATTGAAGGTCATAAAATTATGTGATATAGCAACGACATAAAGACAAAAGCTTTGGAATAATACAGCTACACGAGAAGCAAGAAGTGATCAGCTATTACAACCTATTGCTATAACATTTGCATTATGATGCGAAATCTGTTCTTCTACTATTTTTTTTCAACAAAAATAATAATAATAAATAGTTGTTATGGTTTCATAAATAATAGGAGGCTATTATTTTGGCCAAGAAAAATAACTATAGTAACTGGAAAACACAACATAATGATGTTAGATTTTGTAAACATAACAGCAGCACAGTTAATTGTGAGCATTATTTAACGTAAAAATGCGAAGAAGTAACAATTACATATCAGATGCTAGAAATGTGACACTCGTAGTTTATTACGCATATATCACATAGGCAATGACCAAACTGTACTATGTAAGGCTCTAAAATATTTTATAGTTTAAAATACAATTCTTTTGCAGCTTTGGTCAACCATAGTGTACACCTCTTAACATTGAAAGTGAGAACTGCGTTAAAGCAATATTAATCAATAATCAACGTAAATAAGTCCACCTACAGAATTAGAAATCATTGAAACAAATTTCCCATAGCGGATTAAAAACAAGTCAAGGTTCACTGGAAACCGCAGTTTTGTCTGAGTTTCCTCTTCACATAAGGTATCTTCATCGACATAAAAACATGGAACAAAGATAAACAGATACTTTGATGAATAATTGATCATTACTAGATAAATTTGTGACTTCGCAGAGAATGATTTTCAACTCCAATCAACTGGTGATACAAGGTGGAGATTATCCACGATCATTTTTGAGCGTTTCGCCCACTTATTTCAATCCTGATTTTCATTCATAATAGTAAAAGGGTCTCAGACAGATTTACTGAGCATTATCCTCTACTTAGCGCAACCAAGATATGTGATTTCTTCATCATATGGGCTAAATGAATGCATGCAAGCATAATAACTTTGAAACAAGATACACCCAAATTCGATAACTTACAATAGACAAATACAGTAAACAATGAATTGACGAGAAAGAAGTAGTACGATGTTTATCCATTGTTTTTTTGGTTAAAATATACAGCGCTAATTCTAGCGATTTAATTTTTAGTAGGCATGTTAGGTTATAACCTATTTTTGGAAGTTAGTATACTTCTAAAAATGTTTTCAGATTACGTTTGAATAAATATATTCTTCTACCGTGCACGCTTCAGCTAACACCACGTGATGGGCTGAATTACGAATCGACCTAAGTAGAGAATATCTCGTCCCAGATAGCGAACATTCCTTACATGTCAGTCCAGGTTACCTACGTTCTGTTGCCCTATCACACCCAAGAAATGAAATCAAATAACTAAATTGATTTTTTAAATTTGATGTACTATTCTTTGCACAAATATCAGTTCTCCTAAACTATGCGTTAAAAAGCAGAATATTTAAATTAAATCGCTTGCCAATGATTTCACAATACGTGCTATGGAGAAAAAATGGAGAATCACACATTTCTCAAGTGTAACCATAATTTGAAAAGCTTGCATAGAACTCCAAAAATTTCACGAAGTGACGATATAAATTCACCAGACAATAAGTAGTTCATTTTGAGCAACAATTACTATGTCTATTTCAATGAAATTTCTGAGAAGTTCTGCAGAACATTTTAACTTACTATTCGGTGTTGAACGATATACTAATTGTGAACTATTTGCATTTATTCCATTCGCAGATGAAACAGCATGTGTAATTAAATGTGCTGATTCCAATTGTGATATACATCGTAATATCTCTAACCAGGCATGTCCCAAATAATTACCATCCGTCTGAGCGACAGTAATTAAAGTACGTATTGTATCGATATTCTTTTGTTTCATAGCTTCTGGAGTAGATAAAGTTGGATTGACCGAATTCGAGCCTGATGTATTCGAATAACCAGCATTCATTATAGATGAAGAAGTCATACTAGTTCTTTCCGACCGAGGACGTCGAGAATTCGCATTTGGATGATTCATTCCACCAGGGCCTGATAAGTTACCACCGGAAGAAGGATTGACATGAGAAGTTGTTAGTAATAGTGTAAAACGTGCCAATGCTTGTACATAAGCATCTCTTTCTAACTCCATATGAAATATACATGCTATACGTATAGCATAGCGAATCCCTTCTAAACATAAATGATTAACGTCCAAAGCGTCGCAGTCCTAAAGAAAAGTAAACACAAAACATTAATCTATTATAGAGATGTAGAAAAGCAAACAAAGAAAAAGAAAATTTAAGCCAAAATGAAGTTTATAGTTCATTAAAGTGGGCAGTTGATATTCAACCATCAGGAATTCGAGTCATACACCACTTAATTTACCAAGGTTTGAGTAGCTAGACAGTAGGATTAACACTTAAAATACATTTGTGTTCAGTGTATTACTGGGAAAATTCATTATGCAATGGACAGTTTTCACAACACACTGATAGCGGGCATAGTGATAAACAGTTTACAGCCTCACCCACCCACAACAAGATAAAAAGTATAAAACATGTACTAATTTACAAACAAACCTATGAACCAAATTGATTCTATTGAGGGTTAACAATGTATATACCCATTTGATTAACAGTAAAGTTCGTACAATAATAATTCACAGTTGCAGTCATCAACCACATACAATTACAATATGGATGTTTATTTTTTGAGGGTCAAGTTCATTACACAAATGACATTGTTTAACTCTTATTCTGAATCAATAATTAATAAATTGTACTCATTACGAGATTGTACAAACTTGATTATGTAACCAGGTTGTAGGAGAGATACACAACCACACACACACATAATTTATGTGTATGTACAACACATTCAGGAAAGAGATCCACGAAATCTCACTTATCCGTGTGTAGGATGAAGAGGAACTGGATTCCAAATTTATTAACTTGAATTTTTCGCAATAATCATTTTTTATACGAACAATAAAATTATTTTAGATTTAATAGATATCGATGTGAATTGAAGAGAGAATTAAGTAAATCACAGTGGATATTTTGCATATGATTTAGCGTATGAGTGTGCGTCGGTGGTATAGTGGTTAGGACGCTCGCCGACCATGCACATGGTCCGGGGTTCGATCCCCGGCCGACGAACTCCTTTACCTCGCTAAGCCAGAAATAATGCTGGTGAAGAGGAAAGGTTGGGCATGAGGCTAGCAACCCCATCCTGTAAAAATAAACACTGCTACAGAAACTTCAAGCCACTAGCTTGAAGCCCTATGTTCCACTGGGGAACGTGAAGGAAAAAAAAAAAGTTAGCGTATGAGTATGATTTGAATATTGCCATTATGATAATTACAGAACACAATGTTCCGTGATTTCTCATCAGGTTTCACAATTTGATATGGTTAGCTGAATTAGAATTCAAACACATGAACTAATGGATAGTAGCAAAGATAATAAAGATAATAATAAAAGAGGCGAATTCACGTAAGTGTTCACATAATCTTGGCAGTCGATCATTGCGAATGAGTGTATTTGTAAGGAAAGAAAAAGAAAACAACTATTATGTCACAGCAATTAGGTAATAGGGTATTTGATTTTATAATAAATTGTGGAACTAAAATTAAAATATACAATTATGACACAGTGTGACAATGACAATAAAGAAAAAGATAACAGTACAAATAGTTAATTACAATTATCCGGAGTCATCGGGGAAGAAAACTACTCTAGGTTGGAAGTGAACAAGTGACGAGGGATTGCAGAGTGACTCGACAAATCTTTTATGAATAAGTGGATTATTATGAGCAATTTGAAATAACCAACTTCTAAATGCCTCTGAAAAGAAAATACTACTATGAAAGAAGTTTACAATCATGCAACATAAATATCGCCTCGCTTTGCCAGATTTTGTATAAATTATTACAATAAAGCACTCAGTATATATCATAGATAAACAGTTTTTGTGACAGATATGAGTAGAGATGAGAAAACTGATTTCCTAATCAATGTGGCAGTTTTTTATTGTCAATCTACATCATCTGAAAGGTTGATGAAAACTAAAAAGACACTAGATGGCTATTCTATCCAAACTCCGGACACCCCAGAAGCGCCCGCCAATAACCCTTTTTGAAGTCTAACTTCAAATCACCAGGTTACGGGTGCAGAACATCAAAATTCAATGATTGGGTTGAAATCAAGTGACATGACCCAAAACCTAGTGACTTTAGACAAATTCACACATGGAATTATGACTTCACTGTTGATGAATCTACAGATAGGAAGAAAGACATCCAGATAAAAAGGCCAAGTGAATCGACGAGGTTACGAAACTGCATAGATTGAGGTGGATGGGCCACATAATACATTTGTCAGATTGGCAAATAATGTCAGCTAAAGAGTGATCTAGTTAAAATGAGGTCAGTCAAGCAAGTCAATAATGAATTACCTGAACTACGTAAGAAGACACAGACTGCCTCAATGGAGCTTCACAAATGTTTTTTTACTTTAGTATCATAGTGCTTGCGCTTCCATGTATTTGAAATGTGGCAACTTGAATTGAAACTAACCTGTACTGTTTCCTACGGTTGTAACGACAGAAGGCAAGAGTCAGGCAAAAGATCATTTATTAAGGAAATCAACGCATATTTATATATTTGCATGTACATTACTATGGATATTTAAGTAAACAAACACAGTCTTCCGATTGGTTGTTTCTCACGTAAAGTGCATCTTTCATCTATTTGCGACTGTTTATTGAATGTCAAATCCTCTATATGTTAACTGCATCCGCCTACGCAAAGTATGCTGTGGTCAGTTTTGAATCAATCTTTGTTCGCATTTTCTCACGACAAATCTTGGGAACGTAAATATTGACGTAAATTACTGTCTACCAATTTGGCTAGTAGACAGCTCTCATCACACGGTAACCCACGCTCACTGACTTTGTTCGTTCCTGTTTGTTTTTAACTGTAGTCCTGCTGACAGATAAGACTCAAGCTGAATACATGTCAGAAATTTACTTTTACCATAGGAGTATCTCATTTGTCTGTGTTGGACAGACGACACAAACTAAACAGGTGAAAACGCTGGGAAACCTTGAAGACAAATATCAGTATTTATGGCATCTGATGATTACCTATGACTACACAGACTCCTAGTTTAGGTATGCGATGAAGATTAGTCATGTGCGTGATCTTACTAACTTGGCAAGTATCGTATTCATAGCAGTCGCACAATACATGTGGTCATTATTATTTTATTCCTTTATGTTCCCAGTAGAACATGGCGCTTCAGGCTAGAGGCTTGAAGTTTCGGTAGCAGTGGTGTTTATTTTTACGGGATGAGGTTGCTAGTCTCATGCCCAACCTTCCTTCTTTACAAGTCTTATTACTGTCTTAGAGAGGTAAAGTGCGTCGGCCAGAGATCGGATCTCGGACCATTTGTGGGATTGGCGAACATTCTAACGCTGTGCCACCGACGCAATAGATGTGGTGGTTCTGATATTTCCTTCCCAAATGTTAGTCCTAACTCCTGATCAGTTTAATCTTAGACATGAGGTAATTTAGGAAAGAGTGACAGGATGATGTAAATCAACCAGATGCCGTAGGAGAAAAACAGAAAATGTATGTGGTAGACTATATATGCAGCCAGCTGATGTGATTGCTTGGAAGCAACTTCTGTCACATGACACATGTTTTCCAGGCAAGCATTCGAGGTGAAGAATAAAAGTGAGTGATTTTTCGGTATGCAAAATGAGAAAATCCAAATGCTTCTCTTTTAAATTTCATCTAGTTGTAGCATTACAAATGATAATGAGTTTCAAAAGCAAAAATACTTTCCAATATTGGAAAACGTAGCTTAACCACGTATCAAGCAGGAGTAGAGAACAAAACAAACAAACAAACAAAAAACAAGCAAAACAAATTTGTATGCGAGTAGAATATCTACAATTACGACTATTGATCCAATATGTTTATCCTTTAGTACTTAAAAGAAATAGGTAAACAAAATAATACAAATAATAGAAAAAATTCTATAGAAGGTAAGAATAACAATTCCATTGTCAGAGGTGATGTTAAACAATTCAAAAATAACTAATAAACATACAATTCATTCTTTTCTACCTTGACTATGCTTGTAGTCAACAAGCGGAGAAATACACTGGTGGGATTTACTGATGACAGAAGATGCGTTCAACAGCTGGATACCAACTGCACCTAAAAAAACGGAACCTAATTATTAACTGTTGCTACACTCACACCGACGTATCTGCAGAGCTGATGCTCAGAAGAATAAGACTTTTTGAAATAAATCTTCATTCATTCAAGATGAACATCCACCAAAGATTTATTGACGAGAACATTTAGCCGAAAATTCAAAGGACAAGAGACGTCATCTGTGCCAAAAAAGGAAACGAAGATATCACTGAAAAATTCACCTCAGGGAGTAACAGCTAAGAGAATAGAGCACTTCAACCGGAAAATCTAAAACCGAAGTAATAACCTACAAATATTTCCTTTCTATTGTTTCAACTATAAGCACGTTTAATTAATTAGTGGACAGTAAATTTTACAACTGAACATTATTTTTCAGTACATGAAAGTACTTTTTGGGGTACTCAGGAAACCAAATAACTACATACTGACCATGATGAGATATGGCTAGTAGGGCCGCCAAGCAGTGTGTTATCACAAGAAAATGTTGTTTCTAAATGAAAGTCTATGACAAAGTGAAATGAAAAAACACACCAGAAGAAAATAGTTAGGATTTATAAATGAATTTTACATTATTTTTCTCTGAATAGTAACTCAAAAATTTAAGCCTAAATGTGTAGTGAAGTGTACATTCAAACAAAATGAAGGAAAAGAGTGGATATATGGATGACACTTTCACAGAGTTAGAAACAGAACAAACCTATAGTTTCTTTAAATATATTAGCTCAATAGTGGAGGGAATAAAATTCGCACTTTGGTAAGGAAATGGACAAAGAGAATTAGCTATGTTAGATTGTAAAATAAAAAGAAAACATAGATCGTAAATTGTGCACTAGCGATTACAAAAAGCAAACGCATTCTGCTAACAGATATTTAGACTTTAATTCACCTCATTCGCTATCTGTGAAGGTGGGTTTAGTTAAATGTCTAACAAACAGAGCAATAGCACTTTGTAGTACATCAAACAACCTAAATAATGAAATAAAGCAGATAGAAGAAGAGTT